ACCCTGGGATCATGACCTGAGCCGAAAGCAGAGGCTTTAACCCACTGAGCCACCCAGGCGCCCCTAGATCGTGACTTTTGCCACCTCTGTCTTCTCTCTGGCCCATGGCAGATAGGAGTAATCAAACATGATGCTTCTCTCCTCCCACCACCCCTGCCACTGGACTCTTTGCTCACCTTCCGGCCTCACCCATTCAGACCCTATGGCTAGGAGAGAGTACTGGTCCTTGCAATTCCATCTCCCCTCTAAGAAAAACAGAACAGCCACACTCTCTCCTATCAGCACCCAGGGCAGACATTACTAATCAATGAGGATGTGTTGCTTCTTTCCTCAGCACTGTCCCTGGAAGACGTGGCTGGTCAGCGACGACGGGTGCTGCGTCTGCCTGATCTTGGCCTGCCAGCGACACTGCAAACCCGTCACTTTGCTCCCTGATCCTTGACCTCATGTGTGCTCTTCACCTATTGTCTCCACTGGCCAAATTCTGGGAGCCTCTCCTTGAGCTAACATAACTTCTGCTGTTCTCTCTTCTCCCTTATCCATGGCAACCTTCACTAATTAATCATACGTCCGCCACAAAGCTCCTTTTTCTTCCTCATGGCAGACCCTGTCAGGAGACTGTGCCATATGCCATCATTCTATTCTCCCTGTCCCAGGCAGACTTTTTTGTTTTTTTTTTAAGATTTTATTTATTTATTTGACAGACAGGTCACAAGTAGGCAGAGAGGCAGGCAGAGAGAGAGAGATGGGGGAGCAGGCTCCCTGCTGAGCAGAGAGCCCGATGCGGGGCTCGATCCCAGGACCCCGGGATCATGACCTGAGCTGAAGGCAGAGGCTTAACCCACTGAGCCACCCAGGAGCTCTCCAAGCAGATATTCTTAATCCATCACAATCCTCCTTCCCCTGAGCCCATATCCTTCACCCAGCCAGATCTCATGGCTCCAGTGGCCAATAAATGCGTGGGAGTTTCAGCCTCCTCCTGAGCAAACAGTGGCATCTAGGCAGCTTCTCCTCTCTCCCAAGCCCCTGGCACACTTTGCTCATCGATTGTGATACAAGCCACCTCTCCCCTTTCCCTAACCACAGCAGACATTACTAATTGATCGTGGCTTGTGCCACCCTTCTGCTTTTCCTTGCCAATAGTAGACATTGCTCATCAATCTCTCTCTCTCCCCCCTTGTTGGCGGCAGACGCTGCTAATCGACCATATGTTCCACCTCTCTTTCCCATGGCAGACAGTGCTAACCGATCAAGGCTTATACCCCTTCTCCTGTCTCTGGTGCTCTAGGGATGGTACTGATCCCGATGTTCCCTCCCGCTAAGCCCCGGGCTCACCTGTGCCCTTCACCTGGAAGTCTGTGCGCCGCTGCAGTGTGGATGGCAGCTCGTTCAGCCGTAGGCTCAGCTGCCGTTTGAAAGGTGAGTTCTTCTGGCTGAGTGCCGGGAACCCGCGGAAGGAGCCCTGGCGAACCAGCTGTTCCAGCGGGGCGTGGCGTCGGGGGATGGCGGCCGCACTGGTTCCTGCAGCCACTGGGGTGCCCGCCTCACCCTTCTCACCGGGAGATGTGGTGGCCGGTGTCGGGGACACGTGCCCAGGCTGCGCAGGGCCAGGAACTGCAGTTGGGGCAGCTGCTGCCTCTGCTGGAGACACGGGGAGACAGGCGGTCAGATACCACGCCTAGGCATTTGCTCCTCTCCCAGCAAGCCCCCTTGATCATCTTCCAGTGCTGCTGCCTTCACCCACTCTGTCCTGTCCCCAGGACAGGCTGGTCAGAGCCCTGAAATGTCTCGCTGTCACCACACCAGTACCGCCTGCCCCAGGGGGCCCTCGGGGATTCCTCCTCCAATCTGACCTTTTGGGTCGCTCTAGTTTTCTGTCCCCAATCTGGCTTTCTTCACTGCTTCTGTTTTTTTTCCCTTCTGAGACCTTCTATTTCCCTTTCTGATCAATTTTTTTAGATTTATTTATTTATGAGAGAGCGAGCAAGCATGAGCGGGGGGTGAGGGGCAGAGGGAGAAGCAGCTTCCCACAGTAAGTTCTTTGTAAATTCTAAGCAGTGTTTTCCAAAAATTTAAAAACTAGAATCCACAGTAAAAAAAAAAAAAAAAATACTGTGACTTAGAACACAATACATTTATATTTAAAAAAACCTGTCTTAGGGGTGCCTGAATGGTTCAGTCGGTTAAGTACCTGACTCTTGATTTTGGCTCAGGTCATGATCTCTGGGTTGTGAGATCAAGCCCAGTGGAGTCTGCTTGGGGTTCTTCTTTTTTTCTTTTAAGGTTTTATTTGAGAGAGGGGGTACCGGGGTGGCTCAGTAGATTAAACGTCTGCTTTCACCTCAGATCATGATCTCAGGGTCCTGGAATCAAGCCCCTTATTGGGCTCCCTGCTCCACAGAGAGTCTGCTTCTCCCTCTCCCTCTGCTTCTCCCCCAACCCCCACTTGTGTTCTCTCTCAAATAAATAAAATCTTTTAAAAAAAAAAAAATTTATTTGGGAGAGAGCGAGCGAGCGCGCCCAGGCAAGCACGAGTGGGGTGAGAGGCAGAGGGAGAGGGATAAGCAGATTCCCTAATGAGCAGGGATCCGGTTGTGGGGCTCAATCCCAAATGAGCCACCGAGGAGCCCCTCCTTGGGATTCTATCTCTTCCTCAGTATACCCCCACTTACGCTTTCTCTCTAAATAAATAATATAAAAGCCGCATTGTTTTAGAATTTACAAAGTACCTGCCACTCACCTGTAATGTTAGAGACCACTGATATTTTTGTTGACGGCAACCCAGGGTAAGCAAAACCTTTTGCACGGTAACCTGTCCCCCCCGACACATGCACGCAAATACACAGCCTGGACTAAAATTATCATTAAACTACACTTCCCCTTACTACTTTCAGCTAATCTGATATTTCTATTCTTTTCTATTTCAGTTCTTTTCAGTGCCGGCCACAACCCACCGCGCTGACTTCACAACCCAGTAACTGGCCTTGAGCCACTATTTGAAATGCTTCCGAACCTCCCTGGGTTAGCAGATAACCCAGTTTTGCTGGGATCTGTGGCCAGCGGAATATGGCCCAAACAAGTGAGCTCTGTAAACTGTAGCCAAACCTTGTGGCTGGTGCCCTGCTCTGTAAATTGCGGGGTCCCTTGGCCTCTGTCGCTTTCCCCCGCCCCCGCCCAGAATGGATCCCCAGGCCCTGCCTACAGCACCCACCTTTCTTTTTTTCAGGGGCCTCTCGCTCAGTGGGCCGCCCGCCACCTGACAGGCGGAAGGAGCCCTCGCGGGCGAAGCTGGTGCGGCTGGCATCGAAGGCGGCCGTGACCCCGCATTCCTTCTCCCGCCGCTGTTTCCGCTCCAGGCAGGCGGCGAAGGCACAGCCTACGGCATGGCTCAGCCTCTCCCCCTGTGGGAAGAGGGGTCAGGCCGGGCTTGAAGAGGTGGCATTGTGCCGGCTGGAGGCAGAAGCCCCGGTGCCACCAGCTCAGTGTCAGGTGATCCTGGACCAGTCCCCTGCATCCGTGCCTGCCCAGAGCCTCAGAATGCATCTGCACCCAGAGGGAAATAGGACAGCTCGGAGAGAAAAAAAAGCCAGAAACAAGAGTGCAGTGCCGTATGGCTCCCTTGATAGGAAGTTCGAGAACCAGTAAAACTAATCTGTGGCGAAAAAAGCTGGAAGCCTGGCTGTTCCTTAGGGGGCGGGGGTGAGAACTCACTGGGAAGGGGCAGGAGGCGTTGGCTGGGGTAGAGGAATGTTCTAAGTCTTGACGGCGGCTTGGGTTGCATGAGTATGTACAGTTGTTAACACCCCTGGGTCTGTGCACAGCAAGCATTTGACTTTAAAAAAAAAAAAAAAGCTGGAAACGAATGCGTTCTACTGCGGGGCCAGCAAGCTGAAGTGTCCGGGGGAAGCATTCTGATGTCTGCAACTTTGAAATGCATCAAAAATGGGACAAATGAGCAACAGAGTAAGCGCAGACACACCTAACGGCGGGATCTGGGTGGTGGGTGTCCAGGTGACTGGTTATACAAGTCTTTTGGCTTCCCTGAGTGCTTGAAAGCATTTTGTCATAAAATGCTGGGGGTGAACACAACAGCCCTGTTGAGTGCCTACTTGGGAGGCTGCAAGGCCACGATGATGCTGGCTTCCTGCTTTCCAGCTGTGTTTCTTGAGAAATCCACATCACCTCTTAGTGCCCAAGCCTCCTGGTCTATAAAATGGGGGCCCTAACAGCACTCACTGAACCGGATTGTTGCAAGATTTATCTATGAACTAATATGCAAGGCATACAGCAGAGGGAGCCAGCCCAAGAGCCAGGCACAGGGAAACACCACACAGGTGTCTCAGTGTATCTGTCCATGCGGGACTCTCCCGATCATGCCAGGAGGTGGCTGTGCTTATGAACCCATTTTACAGACAAAGAAACAGCCTTAGTCAACATGCCCATAACAATAAGCGAGTGGCAAAGTTAGCATGAGAATGAGATCGATCTAACTTCTGTTTCTTAACTAAGATGCTCAGCCACCTGTTAAACTTGGGGACAGAAATCGTCCACAAAATACCAGCACAGGAAAAGGGTTACACACCATGATCCAGTGAATTTATCCCAGGAATGCAAGGTTGGTTCAACTTGCGAAAATCAATCAGTGTAACACACCACATTAACAGAAGGATGGAAAAAAGCCACATGATCATCCCCATGAATGCTGAAAAAGTATTTAACAAAATCCAGCCCCATTTCATGATTAAAAAAAAAAAAAAAAAAAAAAACAACTTCGAATAGAAGGGTATTTCCTCAACCTGATAAAAAGTCACAGCTAACATCATACTCAATGCTGAAAGAGTGAAAGCTTTTCCCTAAGAACAGGAACAAGACAAGGATGCCTATTTTCATCACTCTATTCAACACTGTGCTGGAAGAAGAAAGGCATCCAAATTGGAAAGGGGAAAGTAACATTACCTCTGTTTACAAATGCCATAACCTTATATATAGAAAATCATAGAGAATCCACAGAAGAACTATTAGTGATAATAAATGAATTTGGCAAAGTTGCAGGATACAAGGTCAACACACAAAAATCAGTTATACCTACCTACGCTAACAGTGAACAATCCAAAAACGAAGTTACAACAATCCCGCTTACAATAGCATTTAAAATAAAATGGGACGCCTGGGTGGCTCAGTCGGTTAAGCATCCCACTCTTGATTTCGGCTCAGATCATGATCTCAGGGCCGTGACATGGAGCCCCGTGTTAGGCTCTGTGCTGGGTGTGTAGACTGCTTATGATAGTCTCTCTCTCTCTCTCTCTCTCCCCCTCTCTCCCTCTGTCCCTCCTGTCTCCCCCCATTCATGTTCATGTTTATGCTCTCTCTCTCAAAAAAAAAAAACCAAAATAATGGTTATGAATAAATTTAACCAAGGAAGTCAAAGACCTGTATGCTGAAAACTACCACACGCTGTAAAGAAGACCCAAATAAATGGAAATGCATCCCATGCTCATGGATTGCGATATTTAATACTGTTAATGACAGCAATTATTCCAAAGTGGTCTATAGATTCAATGCAATCCTCATAAAAATCCCAATAGATTCTTGCAGAAATAGAAAAGCTGACCCTAAAATTCACATGGAATTGCAAAGGGCCCAGAAGAGCCAAAGTAATTTTGAAACAGAACAACATAAAAGAACTCACACTTTCTGATTTAAATAGTACTCCAAAGCTATGGCAATCAGAATAATGTGATACTGCCATAAGGATAACATATAGATCAATGACACAGAATTGAGAGCCCGATATTGACCCACACCTCTATGGTCAATTGATTTTCAGTAAGGGTACCAAGACTTCAATGGGGGAAAGAACAGTCCTGTTAACAAATGGTGCTAGGACAATAGCCACATGGAAAAAATGAAGTTGGACCCCTACTTCACACCATTTACAAAAATTAACTCAAAATGGATTAAAGTCCTAAATGTAAGAGCTAAAACTATAAAACTCTTAGAATAAAACATGGAGTAAATCTTCATGATCTTAGATTCGGCAATGGATTCTTAGATGTGACACCAAATGCATGAAGGACAAAAGAAAAAAATAGATAAACTGAACTTCATCAAAATTAAAAACATTTGTACCTCAAAGGACACTACTAAGAAAGTGAAAAGACAACTGGGGGAAATTTTTGCAAATCATACAACTGGTAAGTGTCTAGTATCCAGAATATATAAAAAGTTCTTACAACTCAACAATAAAAAGACAACTCAATTTTTTAAAAAATGGATACAGAATTTAAACAGACATTTCTCCAAAGATACACAAATGACTGATAAACATATAAAAAGAGTCTCAATCGCCTTAGTCAGTAGGGATATACAAATCAAGACTACAGTCAGAGGGTGCCTGGGTGACTCAGTGGGTTAAAGCCTTTGCCTTCAGCTCAGGTCATGATTCCAGGGTCCTGGGATCGAGCCCCACATCGGGCTCTCTGCTCGGTGGGGAGCCTGCTTTCCCCCTTCTCTCTGCCTGCCTCTCTGTCTACTTGTGATCTCTCTGTCAAATAAATAAATAAAATCTTTAAAAAAAAAACAAAACTACAGTCAGGTACCATTTCACACCTACTAGGATGGCTATAATTAAAAAAAAAAAAAAAAGGAAAGTATTAAGTGCTAGCCAGGATGTGGAGAAATTGGAACCCTTGTACTTTGCTAGTGGGAATATAAAATAGTGCAGCCTCTGTGGGAAATGGCTTGGCAATTCCTCAAAACTTTAAACATAGATTTACTATATGATTTAGCAATCCAGCTCCTAGGTATGGACCCCAAAGTATTAGAAACAGGTATTCAAACAAATACTTGCACACCAATGTCCATAACAGCATTATTCACAATATCCAAAAAGAAGAAACCACCGGAATGTCCGTCAAAGGATGAAAAGATAAACATGTAATATATCCATACAGTGGAGTATTACTCAGCTATAAAACAGTAAGGACTCGCGCTACAAGGATGAGCCTTGAAAACATGATGCTAAGTGAAAGAAGCCAGCTGTAAAAGACCGCATACCGTACGGTTCAATTTATATGAACTGTCTAGGAGAGGTAACTCCACAGAGACAGAAAGCCACTAGCAGTCAGGGAGGAAGGTGTGTGGCACAGGGAATGATGGCTTAATGGGTCTGAGCTCCCTTTTAGGAGCGATGAGGATATTGGCAACTAGAGAGAGGTGATGAAGGAACAAGGTTAAGAGCCTACTAAATGCCACTGCAGTGTGGGCTTTCATATGATCAATTTCATGTGAATTGCACCTCAAAAAGTGAAGTTATGCTTGGGGAATCCTGGGAGTTCTACCACTTAATGCTTCAAACCTGTGGCTCAGAAGTGGAAGGGAAAGCAGAGAAGGTCACGCTCTCTACACAGAAGAGATGGCCTTGCTCTTTTCTTGCTTTGATTCTCACCCCCAAGTACTTTTCAAGATTTTACTTGAGAGACAGAGAGCGAGCACACAAGGAAGGGGAGGGGCAAAGGGAGAGGGAGAAGCAGACTCCCCACTGAGTTAGGAGCCCCTGCGGGACTCGATCCCAGCACCTTGGGATCATGACCTGAGCTGAAGACAGAAGCTGAACTGACTGAGCCACCCAGGCACCACCCCCCCACCCAAGTACTTTTCAAATGATAGCAACTGTTCCTAGTGACTGAACCAGCGTTATGCAACTCTGTTCAGAACTTTCTGGGTGTGATCCTAACAAATGCTTCCCCAACACACCTGGGAGCAGCCACTGCTAACACCTCCATTTCATGGAAGAGGAGACTGAGTCCCCAAGAGGAAAGTCACCCAGGCCTCATGTCCCACAGCTATGTTGTTATAACACTGAACCCACACTAACCATGTAGCCGCGTTTTCCATAAATAGCCACAGCAAATTTCTGGCACCTGCCCACTCCTCCAGAACTTTGTCACTCCCCTATCAGAGGTGGAGTCTGTGTTCTCTCCCCTTAGCCTGGGAAGACCTCTACGACCACCTGGATAGACACAATCCCACAGAAGCAAGGCTGTGTGGTTTCCAAGACCAAGACCAAACAGGTGTGAGCTGTGCCTCTCTAGAAACTCACACTGGAGCCCAGCGCCACCACAGAAGTCGTCCAGCTCTCCTGAACCCCCCTGCCAGACAGCCCTTGTGAAGAGGTCCTGAGATCCGTGAAAAGTGGGGCTATCCGGCCAGGCTTCTGGGGTCACAGTTCCAAATACCATCGCGCTATAACAGCACAGGAGACCCTGGAGCCAGCCCCACCCAGCTGAGCCTCGTCCAAATTCCTGACCTACAAAACCCGAGAGATAGTAAATGACGGTCATTTTAAGTCACTAAACGTTGGGGCAATTTGTTCCGCAGCAACAGATAGCTGATACAACTTAGCCTGCTCTGCTCAGGAAATCTGCAGTCGCTCAGGGCCCTGGGTTTCTGATATCTCCATACTAGCCCCTGGCAGGCACTCACCCATCCTGACTAATCCATCCTGATACTCTCACGCTAGTTTTCCACCCCCGGTTTGACGTCTGAGATTGTGTGTATGACAGAGGAGGTTGGGGGTGCTGAGCAGTTTTGGGAGTCCAGAGTCCTTGGGGTGGGGATTTCTTTCTCTCTCTTTTTTTTTTAAAGATTTTATTTATTTATTTGAGAGAGAGTGAGAGAGAGCATGAGAGGGGAGAAGGTCAGAGAGAGAAGCAGACTCCCTGTGGAGCTGGGAGCCTGATGTGGGACTTGATCCCAGGACTCTGGGACCGTGACCTGACCCGAAGGCAGTTGCTTAACCAACTGAGCCACCCAGGCACCCGGGGTGGGGACTTCTGAAATACGAAGGAATCCCGGGAAAATCTCAGAGGGATGTGTGTTATTTTACTTGCCCAGTATCTATTCCCCTTGCTTTTGATAACAGCACCCCAAGTTCCCTTTGGGGAGCTCCTCGTGCATGTTGGATAAGACAATCTGTGTGCTCCACCCTCCCCTGACCAAGGGGAGGTCTTACCCAAGACAGGCCAATCCCATGCCTTCTTGTTAGAATTTTAACCCCAGGGGCGCCTGGGTGACTCAGTATTAAGCCTCGGCCTTGGGCTCAGGTCATGGTCTCAGAGTCCTCGGATCGAGCCCCAAATTGGGCTCTCTGCTCAGCAGGGAGCCTGCTTCCCCCCACTGTTTCTCTGCCTGCCTCTCTGCCTACTTGTAATCTCTGTGTGTGTGCGCATGTGTGCGCGCGCGCATGTCAAATAAATAAATCTTTAAAAAAAAAAAAAAAAGAGAGGCTGGATTCATTTCTGCAGCAGTGCAGTGGAAGGAACTGTCCCCTCTGTGGTGCCCCCAGGCTGCTCAGCTCCCTGACTATCCTGATGCTTAATGCTCTGATTGCCCTTTGATTTTTTGTAAGATTTCCCCCCATTATAACATTTTGGAGTTAAATCAGCCAGATTGGTTTCTGCAGCCAGCCACCAAAAAACACTGGCTAATGCAGGGAGCTGAGACCATGCCTTCCTACCAGGTTGGGTGTGGTCTGAGGTCAGGGTTCAGGGGATAGGGCAGAATAAAGAGGAAATTTTCCATTATCTTTTGTGGCAAGGGATGTCCATGTGACTACATGGTGACCAATGGGATGTAATTGTTACGTAGCTCCCCAAAAGGAGAGGGTTTGCCCCTCTGCATGCCTCCCTCCTTTAGGTAGCTGGAATGAAGATGCAAGAGTTGGAGCATGTGTACCCATTTTGGGTCATGGAGTGGAGGCCACACTCCAGTGCCACAAGATCAAGGAGCTGCAGCCCTTGATGGGAAGAGAAGAGCCACCCCAATCCTGCACTGCCTACCTTTGGATATCTTTCACACAAGCCAGGAACAAATTTCTATCTCCCTGAACTGACTGGCAGCTGGGGATTTTCCGTCACAACTTCAGAATCCTAACTGTGAGAATGTTTCTGAGAAGACAGACCATTTGTGGCTTCTGTCATATTCTCAGAGGGAACCCTGATGTCCCAAATATATGAAGAACCGCAGACACATTGAATGGAGGTTGAAAAGAGTGTGTACCCCGGGGGTATCACGGAGATGGGCCCGAGGGACCAGCTGGGGTTTTTATGTAAGCGAGAGTTTATGGAATCGTGTCCTGGACACCTGTGCATGTTACTTACATGCGTGTGACCCTCATAAAAAAGAAAAATAAGAGAAACATGCACAACTATGGACAATGAGGATGATAATTAATGTGTCCCTGAGCACTTCTGACGTGCCAGGCACCGTTCCAGACACTTTGTATTAACCCTCTCCAGCCTCCCTGTACTCCTCTAAGTTAGGAGCTGCAAAGGACACAGGGAACGGAGAAGAAAGGTGAGTGTCTGGCCTGAGCCCGCCAAAGAGCAGCCAGCCAGCTTCCTCCCAGCTCCGGTGATACTCACAGAGTCCTTGAGCGCCAGGAAACAGTGGCAGATCCAGCGGCGGGTGGTCCCATCCCGGCAGATGTAGGAGAAAGCCTTGTCCAGGTTGCGGTCAGGGGCACAAAAGGAGACCTTTTCAATGGTCTGGTCTACCAGCAGGTCCTGGAAGGTGGCCGGGGAAACCAGGAGAGGAACTTGAATGGTCTTTCCTGTATTCATTCAGTGCTCCCTTATTGTCTGTTCTCTGTCTTGTCCTAAATGGGCAGGGACCCCACATTGATTGAAACAGAGGTGGGCCCAGCTCCCATGGGGCTCCCCAGTTAACGAGGCACTCAAGGCCCATCACCAGAGAAAGACACAGGCGAGTGGTCAGGGCCAGGATTGAGGGAGACACATGGACTCATGGGAGCCACAAGGAGGTGCCCAATTCCACTTGATCAGGAGACATCAAAAGCTTCCTGGAAGAGGTATTAACTAGGCAAAAAGGCAGGGAATAGTCTTTTGGGGCAAGGGAACTGCCTCTGCAAAGATGTCAATCCTGCTTAGTCGTTAACCTAACCCTTGTCATGTGCTGCTGCCTCCTTGGGCAGTTTCTGGGCAGGGAAGTCAACGGTGAGCAAACAGATGCTCTGATCCGGGCCGCGTGAGGCTCCCCTCTGGCCGGGAACAATGACAATAAACCCAGAACAGCTAACATCCACTGATCTGCGCAAGTATGCTGCCCCAGGCACCATTTTACATGGCATGCGCCTACCATCTCATTTAAGGGCAGGGTCTGTGTTTATCCACATTTCACAGATGAGGCAACTGAGGCTCGAGGGGTTAAATCTCATACTTGGGGTCACCCAGCAGATGCGTGGGGGAGCTGGGATCCGAGCTAAGGCTCTGCTCTGCAGCCTGTACTCACACCCACCATCTGTGCCAGCTCATGATAACTGCAGGACTCAGCCCTGAATTAGGACTATGAGGTGTGCCAAGATGTTGCGGGAGCACATGGTCTAGGAAGGCCCGGGAGGGAGGGACATCCTGGAGGTGGGTGGGAAGGCGTCCTAAGTCCTGATTCAAGCCGGTGGGGTTGGGGGGCGAGGGGCCCACCGGTGCCCCCTCCTACCCCCACAGGCCTCCTACCTTGGTCTTGTCATCCACCACTCGGAGTCCATCAGCTGACACCCAAAGGACAGACTTCACGGACTTCCGGCCCATCTGGGGTTGGGGAGGAAGACAAAGAGCCTGGTCAGGGCTGCCTCCTGGGGGCGGAGCCGGGGGGGGGGGGGGGGTGCCTTCCCGGCTCCAGCCTCACTCACCGCCTTCAGCTTCTTCACGGCATCTTCACACACATGCATCCCCCGGGACTCCTCCACCTCCACGTGGCCCAGATACTTGAGGGAGAGGAAACGGGAGGACAGGAAATCAGCACAGTAATCAGTACCTTCCCAGTGTGCCCTGAGCAGCTGCGACCCCTCCTGCAATGCGCCTAGCCCATCGTACATATTAATCCACTCTGCACCTCGGCCCCGTGAGGTGGCTACTCTGCTCCCATCCCAGGCATACAGACGAGGATGCTGAAGCAGACGGGTAGTACCGATTCCCATCTTGCCTCTATTCTTGGGCCTTAACACGTTACCCTCTTCCCTTTGGGCCCCAGTGTCTGCGAGCCCCAGGATTGGCCCACTGATGAACTGATGGGACCTGGGGTACACTCGCCCCAGCTCCCTCACCCCGTGGCTAGGATGGCTCTATTTCCCAGCATTTTCCCCAGCAGCATAAAGCCAGGGCTGAGTAGCTGGAGGGAGGCATTGGCCTCGAGTGTGCATGCCTCTTAGAGGGCTTTCTTGCAGGGTTCGGGTGACGAGAACTCAGGACCCTGGGCCAGGTCCAGGTGGCCGCCCTGCGGGCCCACGGCTGCAGGTTAGTGAAACACCCTTTACTGGCCGCCTACCCTTCTTTGGCCCCACAACGTTTCCCACACCACCAGATGGACCCCTCACACTCCATGTCTGCTTCTGGGAGAAGGGAAAAGAAAATGGAGGGTTTGTGACCATCGGCTGTGGTCACCCCACCAGGAAGGGACTGAGTGGGATTTGGACCTGAATCCTGTGGTCTCCCTCACAGAGGTGCAGTATGTGTTGTGAAAAGTCGTCCAGTGCCTTTTGGAAATTGTGAGCTCCCACAGAATAGGGTGACTAATAGGAAGAAGGTAACCCCCTCACTCCCCAGGTAATAACTTCCTGGTACAAGAGAATGTGTTGGGGTTTTAATCCCGCCATTGAAGGGCCCAGGCCCAGGCCGTGGGGTCCTGCTCTAGCAGGTCGAACCTTCAGCCATCCCTCTGTACAGGACGGGCCCTCAGCCCTCTCACCCAACACCAGGGACCCGGAAGCTCACAGTGCCCGCCCATGGCCCCGCCCACTCACCCGGACTGGGAAGCTGCACGTGCCCTTGCGCACAGCGTCCTCGTCCGCTTGCCACTGGTGGGGGCGCGACGCCTCGGGCACGTAGGCTGGTTTCCGCCGTCTCAGGCTCTGCCGTAACTTATTCATGGTGCCCGCCCCTTCTGGTGACACAGGACGGGGGCATGGGTCAAGGGCGGTGGCTGGAGGCATGGGCTCCAGCAGGATGGATGGAGTGCTCAGGGAACATGGGGTCAGATAACATGGGATCTGGGTTACAGTAGGGGGCGTCACTGGGTCAGAGGTATGGCATTCAGGGAACGTGCATCAGCAACAGTCAGGGGACACCAGGAAGGCAGGGTAATGCCAGAGTAAGCAGTGGCGTTTCAGAAGAAAAACTTGGGGCCAAGGTACATGGAGGTCAGGGATGGGGAGGGTCATGAATCACAGCTTTTAGCAGTCTGGAGATTAGGGAGGTGACAGTCAAGAGGTATGAGGATCCAAACTAAAAGGGAGTCAAGACACTGGAGGGCACAGGGCTTAGAAGGCATAAGGGCCACAGGTCATGAGGCCAGGGGTTTTAGGCGTAGGAAGCCAGGGGATGAGATGGTCAGAGAGCACAAGAGTTCTGAGTTGCCTGGGTTCGGTGCGGGGGGGACTCAGAACATCCAGGGACTGAAGGTCCAGAACCCAAGCCAGAGGGTGTGGGGGCTGGGGGCTCATCTCTGTGCCCCTCAGATCTGCCCCTCTGTCAACTGTGTCTAGTCGAAGACAGGAGACCCTGGGGCGGTGTGCACCTGCGACCATCAGATGAAGGAGCGAGAGTGGAGGTGGGACAGTCTTCATTGACTAAGACAGTCTTCACAGACTGAGAAGCCATCCTGACAATCCCAGGAGCGTGAGGGCCAACTAGGACAGAGCACCAGCAGCAGATGGGGACTGTGTGTGTGTGCGCGCATGCAGGTGTGCAATTGGTGTATTTCCAGTGTCTAGATCTGAACATGCAACCATTGTGAGTGTGTGTATTTCTGAAGACTGTGTGTACAGAAGGCCACAGGTCTGAGAATGGTTGTCTGAGAAAGTGTGTGTCTGGGAGTGCAGTCTGTGAGGGGGTCAGTGTCCAAGAGTGCGGTTGTTGTCCGTAAGTGAAGGTCCTGGAAGGTTGTTGCTGAAGGCTATCTAAGTGTGAGATGGTTGTGGAATGTGTGTCGGGAATGCTGCCTGTGGGGATGTGTCTGAGCATGAAGCTCTTGGCTTCGAAAGGGTGTGTCCCTGACTGTTGTCTTGGAAGCTGTGTGTCCATGTGAGAGTGTGGCTACAGCCTTCGATGGCTGTCGCCTCTGACGGTGTGTTCCTGTGACTTATCAGAGAGTCTTTGTCTCTGGCCAAGAGTGCTGTCCGTGGTGAGGTTGTGTGTCTGTGGCTTTTGTCTGGGAGGATATGTGTGTGTGTCAGAGAGTGTGGCTGTTGCAGAGACTGTGGGCTCATGAGTGTTGTGCTGAGGCTGTGTCTATGCAACCAAGTATCTGGGTAGATGTGGGATAGCACAAGGTTGTTGTCTGTGAAAGTGTATTCATGTTATTTGCGAGGGTGGGCCTGATGGTCACTGAGCGTGCAGGGAAGACATTCGAGGGCGCCCACTCCTGAGTGTGATGAAGCCCGTGTGAGCACAGGGACAGTTCCTCCCGTCGTGAAAGCCAAACCCAAGCACACACTCAGCCCTTGCCCTGGCCCCAGCTGGTCACTCACCTGGCTCCGTCCTGGAGGTTTCAGGGGGGCCCCGGGGCCCCACAGGGGGCTGGGGGCAGATGCTGCTCAGGCCTCCTGGGTCCGCCCTGCCCAAGAAAGTGAGGAGAAGGTGAGAAACTGGCTTGGGGTGGGGCTCAGTCCCCTACCTCACCCCCTCTTTGGACAACAGCCAACCCCCCCCTCCATTTCAGGCTCCCTGATGAGAGCCCCAGTTGTCATAGCAACTGTTACTAAGGAGACCAGCCACCTGGTAGCAAGAGCCCAGGAATGAGTTGGTGCATTTCCGGGGGCATGTGCTGGGGATGTCCTGGCCTCAGGAGGCCCTCAGTACCCAAGGGGATGGTGTGAGGAGGGAGTGGCCTTGACCTCTAGACACCTGTCCAGGCTGCACATAAACATACGGTCACATGCATGCACACACACAACTCAGGTCTCCAGCTGTCCCCAGCACCTGGGCACAGCTCCACACATGTGTCTGTGCAGACACCACAGCAGGGGCACACACCGGGTCCCAGAGACACACAAAAGTGGCGGCAGCCACTATCACCAGCTGGTATCCTATCCATGTTCACAGACACAGACATCTGTCCACGTGAGTAGCAAGTCCCAGCCTGCCCAGGCACGGCCATAAACACCCGGTCACACCAGCTACTGGATGTTTGGTCCTTCCTTGTTTTCTCAGCCATGTATGGACAGCCGGGCCTAGGCACCCCCACCGGAGCAGCGCTCACTCCCAGTGAGATCTCCTCAGGCCCCCGCCTGACACACTTGCGTCGTTGCCCCTGGAGTCACACCGGTCAGAGGTCGCCCACTAGCACAGACAGGGTCCCCATCACACACACCTGTCACATGCGGCTCTGCTGCTGTGCGAGGACATGTGGTCACGGGGGCATGCAGACACACGGCCACACATTCGGTCCCACACTACCAGCCTCAGCCATGGCCACGGTGCCTCCTCGTGTCCAGGCACACGGCAGCCCACAGGTTCCTGGCCCCAACTGCAGCAGCCACATCAACATGTTGTTTGGGTCACGTGCTATCACAGTCACACACACACCCAGTCACAGGGACACACATGTGGTCACCATATCAGCCACCCTTACATGGAGAGCCCTCCCTGACCAATCACAGACAGAGACACAGATGGCCACGGTCTGTGCCTGGTTCAGGACCAGGCACGCACACTGAAGACATGCACGGAACCACCCAGAGACGACTGTCCCTCAGGATGGTCAGATGGATGCTGGCTCAGAGTCCCAGCCATATACATTTCAGAAATGGCTGTGTGTGCCAAGCCACACAGCATCGGTGTCCCAGTCCCCAGCCACATGCCCTGGCCATGCTACAGTCCCCCAGGCCCCCACCACCCGGCTGCACCACGTCACCCCCTCACCAACACATGGCTTCTCTTCATGCAAACACATGAAGAAGAAGCCTGTGGCCACATACAATCACAGTGCCAGGTGGACAGACACACAGCATCTCACACAGGGAGACATCGGCATGCAATTTCTGTGTCACACGTCATAAGCACACAGTGATGATGAGACAGAACTCAGAAATGCGGTGACCCGGACATGGCGCTTATAGCTGTGTCCACCCAAAAGACACGGTTCCTGACAGAGCCATGTACGCAGTCAGGAGAGTCACCCAGTCACCAAACCACCCAGATGGAAACACAGTCCAGCACGCACACATAGGGACACTCACAGCAGCCAAACGGCTATAGACATGTGCACTCCCATAGGCCATGACATATAATGCGCACTCCCATAGGCCACGACATATAATCACCCAGGGTCGCAGATGTGCAGGTCCGACACAAATCTAGAAGCCACCATCACCTCTATCTGCCCCCCCCACACACAGTTCCCTGGTGCCACCACCCACAGCCATAAGTAGAGCTTGAGTCACACATGACAAAATAACCCTCTACTAATAATCAGTCAGGGGTTCAGACCCCTACTCCAATCTGTCACCCAGATCACACGCAGACACAACTATAAATGTGCACACTTTGTATCGACAGAGCTAGATGGAGACCTTTCTACAACCCAAGTCACATACATAGATGTGGCCATGGACACACAATCGCTGTCCTACATGTCACAGGGCCATCACACAACCAGGCATGGGGTGTTTTCGTATATGATGGCAGTTACACACCCAGAGTTGCAGGGACAGTTGTGTGTCATAGAGACGTATGTGTGACCCACATATACGATCAGTTGTAGACGCAACCACAAACATTCGCAAGTCACTGGGAGAGCAGCACATGGCCAGAGTCATAGACACAACTCCACGTACCACCGTCCCAACTTCACCCACGGCTAGTCGGCCACACATTCGCCCAACCCCAGACCCAACACACACACTGTCACAACCCAGTGATATTTACCAAAGCACACGCCTAGGGTCACAAAAGATGTAATCACAGACCCAACCACACAGTTACAACCATGCACACACACACTCAAACAGACTAAAAAGTACAGGGTTCAGCATAAGGAGCAGCTGTCTCTCTCTCTCACACACACACACACACACACACACACACACAGTCACACCAATGCCAGGGTCACAGACACCATCACACACATTACCAGACACAACCACAAGCACAAAACACAGACACATGCACAGGATTCCTTGGTCCCCAGCTCTAGCGCACACGCGCGCACACCCACAGCCACAGCCACAGTCACACAAACACTGGGTCACACTCTTAGCCACCTCCCTATCCCTTGCTTTCCCCCTTCCCCCCAGGTACCACACACAAAGCCGCCGTCACCCGCAGCCGCTGCAGACAGATAGGGCTGTGCTTGGTCCCTGGGGAGCCGCCCCCCACCCCCAGCCTGAACCTTGGAGCCTGGGGGGCCATACCCAGGAGAGGGAGGCGGCGCATTGTCTGCGGGTGGGGCTGCTCCCAGACAGCTGGGCAGCCCCAGGGATCCTTGACCAAGCCTTTGGGGGTTGCCTGAAATTTCCCTATTTTATTCAGGATGGGTGGGGGGTGGAGTCCGGGGAACAGGGAGCTTGTTTTGAGAAGGGGCTGTTCCTGGGACACCGCCCAAAGATTTGTGGGGGGATGCTGTGCTCAGGACGTCTCTGAGCCCTGAGTACAGACTGTGCCTGGAATCCGACCCCCCCAGGCCCTGGCTTGGTAGGGGAGCTGTGCCCAGGGACCCCCATCCTCAAGACCTTGCCTAGAGGGTTGTTATGCTCAGAGACCACCTCAGGCAGGGAGGAGTAGGGATTGCGTCTGCTCTGGAATGGCCTCCTGGAGGCCTTGGCCTAATGTGGGGGTTGTGTCCTGGACCCCAACCCTAAAGCCTTGCCCAGGGAGTTGTACCTAGAATCTGTCCCCCTGCCCTTGATTTTTTTTTTTTTTTCTTTTGAGGGGCAGGTCTATGTCCAAGATCTCTATCTCCAGGGCCTTGGCAAGAGAGGGCCTGTGCCCCGGACCCCTGTCTCTCAAGCTTTGGCTTAGAGGGTGCCTGTTCCGGACCCCCACCCAGGCCCACCCTCCCCACCCTTGGCACCCTCTCTCCATCCGGGCGCCGCGGCCGCCTCCCACCCTTCGCCACATCAGCAGCGGCGCCGCCCCCCACCCGAGTCCCCCTCTCCCGCCCTTCTCACGCTGGCCGCCGCGCTGCGGGACATCCAGGGCCCGGGCGCCCCCGCCTCCCGTGGCCCCAGCTGGGCCCGGATCCCCGAGCGTGCTGCTGCTGCTGTGGCGGCGGCGGCAGCTCGGTCTGACGCGGGCCGGGGCCGGGGGCCGGGGGATGGTGCGGGATGCACGCGCGCGAGCCTGCTCTGCTCCCGGGAGGATTCCGTTCCGGGGGCGGGGGAGCGCCCCTCCTGCCTCGGCTCCCCGCCCCGGCCCCGCCCATTGGCCCGCCGCCTTCGGGATATGCAAGAAAACCCCGCCCCGGCCCGGCGCCCGGCCGGCAGGCCACGCCTATACGCAGATATGACCCCGCCTTCTCTGGTGCGGCCACCGCCCCGCCACGCCCATTGGCCAGTCCGGGACTGAGCCAGCATGTGAGCCTCGTTGAGACCTTACCCTAGGCCTAACCAGGCGTGGGCTCTCTTCGCCTCCGTGAACCTTGACCTCAGGTCCCCTTCTGTTCCACGTCCGTGAAAGAGTTGCTTCGGGAAGCTCTTTGCCGCCCCACATACCCAAATCTTAGAGCTAACCCCACGGTTCTCCCAGCCCAGCGGGGGCGGGCAGAAGCGGTGACGAGGCACTTTTTGCAAGGAAGGGGAGGGGGAACGAAGAGACCCCGGCGTCCTAGTGTGCGAGCGGTTCGGTTTCGGGGGTGGGGGTGCCGGGCTGGGACCAGGGTGCTGTTCTGGTCATCACTGCACCCCCGCTCCCACTCGGTCCTGTGGGTTTGGCAAAGCAGCTTGCAGGGGCATTACGGTCCATTAGCAAAGGCGAGGTTGCCGGGAGCCGAGGCGAGGGAGCGCGGAGCCCGGGAGGTGTGTGGGGCGGGGGCAGGCCTTCTCAGCTGCCGCGGCCTTTCGAGCAGGTGGTCAGCACGTGTGGGAGGGGCTGGAGGAGGGGCGGGTGGGAGGGAAAGGGTAGAAGGAGGATCCCGGCAACAGATGGCCCAGGCTGGGCTGGGGCTTTCAGACCAGAGGATGGGAGGGGGCTGGCCATCTGCACCTGGAGGCAGGCTGAGAGCTCCTCCACCCCCACCTCTCCCAGCGCAGAGAAAAGAGCCGGGAAGGGGAGCCGCTTTTATTCCGTCTGAAGTCTCAAACACCCTCCCCTACCCCCTCCCCAATACATAGAAAAGAGGGAGCCGGGAAGAAGGGGGAGAACGCAGCTGGTGGAGGGGTGAGGGCAGCAAAGGCGAGGGCTGCCTCCACTAACCCCTTCCTCTTTCATTGGCCAGATGGGTGGGAGACCTGAGGCAGAGGTGAGGGGCTCCCCATCTACAGGAGTCTGGATCTGCATGCCTGCGCGCAGGGGACCTGAGGCTCTTAAATGTGGACAAAAATAAGTTAATTCCTGGCGCAGAGTTCCTGGATGCCAACTTTGTGGAGTGGGGAGAGCAGGAGATGGGGGTGTGAAGCTGGGAGTTCCCTAGCCCAAGGGTTCCCCAGCTCCTAGGAAAGGAGTGAGGCAAGACAGGGAAGCCGGAGGCGGTGGTCTCCCGACCTGCAGGAGAATGGAAAGGAGGCATCACAGCACCACCTCCCCTCCATGGCCTGCTTTGGGGCCAGAATCCCTGGATGGAGGCTGTCTTTAAGGGGTCTGACCAGGCATCCCCTTTGGTCAGGAGGCCGCAGCCAGCGGCTACGCCTGGCGACTGGCCCAGTAGCGGTGGTAGGTGTCCTGGAAGAGATCCCGGCAGGCGATGTGGGCACGGAGGCGGGCGCAGGCCAGGAAAGCCCCTGCCAGCTTGCGGTGCAGGGCGTAGGTCTCCTCAGGCGGTGGGCGCAGCCGGTGCCGCAGCAACACGGGGATGAGGCCCTGCACTCGGCGGGCAGTGTCACCAGCCCCAAAGTCATAGGGGCCGGGGGTGGCGAAGGGTTCCCCCAGGATCATCACTGCCTCCACGTGGGCCTCCGAGAATGCCTGTGCATAGGGGAGAGCAAGAGGCACGCAGGGTGGAGGGACGGGCCTCCTCTCAACCCACAAGGGACAAACCCCCTGGTCTCCCTTGTACTCTCAACTATAAACACAAGCCCCCCACTCCCTGATGAGTCGTAAGCAGCCTCCCCTCCTTCTAGAGCCCCTAGGCCTCCCCAGAGTGGCCCTTTACTTCCTCTCAGAGCCTCAGTAGACAAGCAGCCCTCTATCTCTCTAGAACAAACAGCTCCACTTCCCCACCCCCAGTACCCACCAGCAGCCCCCCACTCCCTCCCTCTAGAATAAATGGGGCCCATTTCCTTCCGGTTTCTGAGTAGAAGCAGGCTTCATTCCCCCCCCTCCTCCCCAGAGCCCCCCAGTAGAGATAAGCAGTCCCCAACCCCTCTCCAGTGTTTCCAACCTTGGTTTCAAAGCCTGTGAGGAATCTGAGGTCCCGGGATTTCTGCAGGACCCGGTCTCTGTCTCCATTGGCTGCTGCCATCACCACCTGGGGAAATGGGTGTTTGGTAGAGGTCAAAGGCCAAGGGAGTGGGGTTCAAGGAGGGCTCTGGAAAACTGGCCTGGCCCTCCCTACATTCTGGTCTACTTAAGCCCTCTCACCTAGAAGCCGCTCCCTCCTCACCTTGCCCCTATCTGTATCTCCTCCCTTGGGCCTGTTCCAGAGCCTGGCAGGGATGGAAAGGGGGTAAGGGGGGTGGTCAGGGGATTTTCCCACTTGGCCTAGAATGTAGAGCCTGCCTGGAAACTACCACAGTGAAACAGCTGGAGGAAAATAAATGTCAACTGCTATTCGTGGTCCAAACACTCAACTAGACAAGGATGTGACCATGACCCAGAACTCCATCTGAGGTGGCCACTGGGCCATCTCTGTAACAGCCTGATTGATGTCTGTCTCCTGCTGGGCTTTGCACCCCAGAGATGCCAGACTTGTAGCACGAGGCCTGGCATTCAGGTGGCCCTTGGTGAACCTGTTTGGCAAAGAAGCACGTGGAGCACCAGCCATGGGGGCGCGTGGGGAGAGCAGGAGTTGAGCTGAGGGTGTGGACAGACAGAAGTGAGAGCCAGCCTGCCGGGGGTCCATCCCAGCTCTGCCACTTGCTGGCTGAGAGATTCGGGGCAAGGCACTCAGCCTTGGCCCTCGACTTCCTCATCTTTGGAGCTGGGACGATGAGAGGATCGTCCTCATGGGGGGCTGTCGGGAGGCAGGAAGAGGTGTCTGCCGTGTGTGGTGGGCTGTGCCTGCGTGTAGGGTCTGCCATGACCGTGAGGAGCCATGACCGTGAGGAGCCACCGCTATCAGCAGATGGATGGTAAGGTCCCTACTTCACGGAATAGCAAGGCTGGGAGGGAAAACGTTAACCACTTTCTCGGGAGGAAGGGGAATACAGGATTCAATCTGACAGTTCCAGTCTGTCTCAGCTCCCCCTGCCCGAGGCTGTCTGGCCATCTGTCAGGCCTGTGGTCCTTGGGGACTGATGTGACAGGGCTTTTTTAAACTGGAAAAGGCTGGGGAGACCAGAGGAGAGCCAAATAGGCCTGGGGGCGGGGTTAGGGGGACACACAAGATGTCCCACCCACCCAGAGAGAAAGACCTTGGCTTTGTGCCTCAAGGGGCCGGGAGAAAGGGCCCAAGGAGCCTCTGTGTGTATGTGTGCACGTGTATATACACAGGTGTATGCACATATATGCACACATATACATATGTATATGCACACGTGTGTATGCACAGGTTGGGGGTAGGGACTGCCAGCTCCTCTTTCCTGTCCCTATGTCAGGGGTGGCCCCACCATACCCTGAGTCCCCAAGCCAGAGCCTTGGGCCTTGTCCTCTCCTCCCTTCCCTGGGCTCCCAGCCCCCCAGTCTCAGGAAGTTTTCTAATTCTGTCCCTCCCCTGCTCAAATCCCTTCTGGGAGTCCCCCCAGCACCTGGATAAAGTACAAGGTGCCCAGCATGGCTTTTCAGACTCAAGAGTGATTTGGCTCCAGCCTTGTCGCTGGTTCCTGCTCCACCCCGCACCTGCTGGCCCAGTCAGAAACGAACTTCCTTTTGGTCCTCGAGGCCTGACTATTCAAAGTGTGGTCCCTGTACCAGTCGCTCTGGCATCAGCTGGGAGTGTGTTAGAAATGCAGCATCTTAGGCCGGACTCCAGAGCACGACCTGCACTGAACAGGCATGGGGGGGCCGGTGGGTGTCTCATGGACACTGAAGTTTGAGAAGCGCTGCACTAATGGGAATATCCCTTCTCTCCTCTTGGCCCTTGTATGTTTATCAGTGGGGGATACCCTCCTTGCCTCTTCCTGATTGGTCTCCTCGTCCCTCAGGTCCCAGTCCTGATGCTCTTCCTCCAGGAAGCTCTCCCTGACCCCCAAGGCTAGCCCAGGCTCCCCCTCTGGGCTCCCACCGTCTCCTGTGCTCCCCCATTCCAGCCCTGGCCGCTCTGGGTTCTTACTGTCTCTCCCTGTCCTGGGCTGTGAGCTCCGTGAAGGAGGAGACCAGGCTGGGTTGGTCACCCGGTTGGTATTGCCCAGAACAGGGCTGGGCACAAGGGGGTGTCAGAGAATGCTGGAACTGATGAGTAAACGAGTAGCAGGCCCCCGTCAACTAGTCCATCTCAACAAATTAATGAGATGCCTTAGCTAGGTGGGTGGGAAGGACAGGCAGCAGATGTTCCTGAGGAGAAAGCTGCCCCTAAGGGAGCAGCCGGCCAGAGATTTATGTGAGTGTGAGGCTGAAGGCCCGGGACAGCCTGGGGTGTGGGGAGGTGGCAGGATGGCCACTGTGGGCCATCAGGGGCTAGTCAGGGTTCGGGAACACGGGCTCTGGGCCCAGGCTCCCGGAGTCTGAATCCCAGGTCTGCTGTCACCTAGGGCAAGTGATTTCATCTCTCTGAGCTCTAGTAACTTCATCTGTAAAGCGGGACTAAAAATGGTCCTAACCTGAGACACTTCGGCGGCTCAGTCAGTTTAAGCCTCTGCCTTCAGCTCAGGTCATAATCTCAGGGTCCTGGGATTGAGCCCTGCATCAGGCTCTCTGCTCAGCAGGGAGTCTACATCTCCCTCTGCCCCTACCCCAACTTGTGCACCTGTCCGCGTGTGCTCTCTCTCTCTCAAATAATTTTTTTTAAAATAAATATATTTTTTAAAGATTTTATTTATTTATTTGGCAGAGATCACAAGTAGGCAGAGAGGCAGGCAGAGAGAGGGAAGCAGGCTCCCCGCTGAGCAGAAAGCCTGATGCGGGGCTCAATCCCAAGACCCTGAGATCATGACCTAAACCGAAGGCAGAGGATTTAACCCACTGAGCCACCCAGGTGCCCCCAAATAAATACATTTTAAAAAATGCTTAAAAATGGCCCTGACCCCATACAGTTACTCTGTGGTTTAAATCAGCTACCGCATGGACAGCACCTCAAACAGTACCTGACATTATATTAAGGGCTTTTTATTTATTTGTTATTACTATTACTATTATATATGATTTCTTAATTCCAGATACTGTATTTCTCCTTCTCACCCTCGCCTCAGTATCGGGCTTGAGGCCCTTCAAAGACCTCAGGGTTGGGGGGACTCACCTCGATGTAATGGTCTGTGAATTCAGTCCCAAATTCCCGGCTTGCACCGAAGTCCAACAGGGTCACCTGGGACAAGGGATGGTGAGAGGGATGCTGGGAGTCCACCACCACTCCCCACCGACTGAGGTTTGGGGGGCCCCAGCTCCATTCCCACACTGTGCCCCTCATCAGAGTCCCCGCCCTGCTGACCCCCTGGATTCCTGGCCTCCCATCTCCACACTTCTTATCCACCCCCATATGAAACTGAAGGGAACTGGCTTTTATATTGTTGATCCTATCTTTATAATAATATGTTTTAGGCATAGAAAAAAAAAAATCTAAAGAATAATAAAATATGGGGTGCCTGGGTGGCTCAGTAGGTTAAGCCTGGGATCAAGCCCCGCATCAGGCTCTTTGCTCATCAGGGAGCCTGCTTCCCCACCCCCTCTGCCTGCCTCTCTGCCTACTTGTAATCTGTCTGTCAAATAAATAAATAAAATCTTTTTTAAAAAGAATAATAAAATATGTGGGGGAAAAAATGAACACCCAAAAATCCCAGCGGCCCACTTAAAATGTTCAATATTACCAAACCAGGTGGAGCCTCCCATGGACGCTGGCCTGCTCCGACCTCCCCCGTCCTCTCTTCCAGGGTCACCACTTTCCCAAGATTATCATTACTAAACTATTATTTTCTGAAATTCCCATGTGTGCATGTCTACATTCTCTACGTATGTGTGCACCTGTGAACAATAAGGAGGCATGCTATGTGTGTTTCAAAACTTCATATAAACAGTATTTATGATAGTTACCCTGCGGCTTATTCTTTGTGCCCAACATGGTTTTGCAACTTATCCCCGTTGCTGTGTGCAGCCCTGGCTCATTCATTTTTTCCTTGCTGTGTAAGGACTTCATCGTGTAAACATATCAAAGTATATTTATCTGGCCAGTGGACACTGTGGTTGTTTCTGGGTTCTACTATTAGAAACAGTGCTCGATGGGTGCATGTATAAGAGTTTCTCTAGGGCAGTGGAGTTCACACTATTGATCACAACCCACAGCAAGAAAGACACCCTGTAGGGGTGCCTGGGTGGCTCAGTCATAAAGCGTCTGCCTTTGGCTCAAGTCATGATTCCAGGTTCCTGGGATCAAGTCCCACATCGGGCTCCCTGCTCAGCCGGAAGCCTGCTTGTCCCTCTCGCATGCCCCATTTGTGTTCCCTCTCTCACTGTCTCTGTCAATTAAAGAAATAAAATCTTAAGAAAAAAAAAGGAATACACATTGTTTTTGGGCACCAGTACCCAGGCACACCCAAATACAAGGTCAAACAATAGCATCCCGAAATAATATGGATCCCTCCCATCTGTGACACATTGGTATCTTCTATTCTATGGTTTTAAAACAAAAGATCCTGTTGAGACACAATAAACTGATGTCAGGACTCGTATCACCGCCCCTCTCATCCCAAGTTACAAAAATATTTCCTTGTGGTGTGAGCCTCGCAGGGACACACTATCTGTGCACTTGGCAAGGAGGGGGTGACAAGGGACTGAGGCTGGGGACTCAGTGGGGCCACATCACACTCAGCAAAGTGCTCAGACTTGATCCTGAGGTGGCCACGGAGCTATGAAAGGGATAGTTCAGCCAGGTTTGTGTTTTCAAAAGATCCCTCCGGAGATGGGATGCATACAGACCACGTTAGAGAGCCGTCTGGCAGTCGTGCTCACTGAGTCTTTCAATCCAAACTCTTATCCCAGGCCTTTGGCTACCCTGTGTCCTCTGCCGGGAACACTCTTCCCTTTTCTTCAGGTGGCCGTCCCCTTCTCATCTTTCTGGTTTCCGCTTTTTTTTTTTTTATAAAGATTTTATTTATTTATTTGACAGACAGAGATCACAAGTAGGCAGAGAGGCAGGCAGAGAGAGAGAGGAAGGGAAGCAGGCTCCCTGCTGAGCAGAGAGCCCGATGCCAGGCTCAATCCCAGGACCCCGAGATCACCACCTGAGCTGAAGGCAGAGACTCAACCCACTAAGCCACCCAGGTGCCCCTCGTTTCAACTTTAATGGCACTTCCTTCGAGAAGCCTTACTTGACCTCACCTACCCTGTGCCAGGTCAGCCATTTCCCTGGCTCCCCGCAGGCCCCTGTGCCTCCCCTGTCACTGACCACTCCGACCTGTGCTTCCCCATCATGGTACTAACTACTCGGTCATCACTGTCTGGTCACAGGTCCCTCCGTGGGATTGGGAACTCTGAGAAGGTGACGATCAGGGATGTCTTGGCATCACTGTCTAGAGGCAGTAGATGCTTGGTGTGTTAAATGAATGATGGGTGTGGTAGCGATGACTAACTGCCTTCCTAAAGCTGTTGCCGCTAGGGAACCATTGCCTAGCGGAGATTCCATTTCCCAGCGTCCCTTGCACCTAGCCAGGCCGTGTGACCAGTTTTTACCAACGGAATGGTACGGGAGGGGACGGTGGGGGAGACAATGTGTCACTGCTGGCAAAAGCAATTAGGCAGGGCGCTACCCTCTTAACCTCTCTTTCCCCCTTCACTGGAAGGAGAGCATTTCAAGGCCTAGGGGATGGTGCCATCACAGAAGGGAAGGAGCCTGGGTCCCTGAGTCACCATGTGGAAGAGGGCCACTCCAGCCTGTCATGTGGGTCATAACTACTGTTGGGCTGAGCTACGGAAATACAGGAAACTGTCTCTTAAAGCGGCTAATGTACCGTGAGCCACATCATAGGGAACCGACCTGGTGGCTGGAGGCATCATAGAGGAAGTTGGCCCAGTTGGGGTCTGTCTGCATGAATCGGAACTCGAACAGCTCCCGCAGACACAGCCTCAGGAGCTGGAAGCAGATCTGCAGTGGGGAGGAGTAACAGACATCTCAGACCCATCGGCCCCTCTAGAGTTCTCTCTGGCCGGGAGGTGGACTGTGGGCCTGGCCAGCCCTACCAGCCCTGCCCAGGGGCAGCGCCCTCCCTACTGTCCCTCGAGCCCCTGTACCTGGTTCCGGATGTCCTGGCTCAAGCTCTGGCACTGGTCCAGGGGCACCCCTCCGGCCAGCTCCATGCCCAGCACCCGTGTTGTGCACAGCTCCTTAATCACAGCTGGTACCCGGAAGAAAGGGTCATCGGCCAACAACTGCCTGGGGCAGAAGGGAGGGGAAGGGACAGGACTTCATGCTTCAGGGCCCTGTGGCCCACCTTGAGGCCTCCTCCTCTTCCTCTGAGAAGTGCTCCCAGAACAGTCTCTGTCTTGCCTTCCCTCCTCACACCTGTCTAGCTTGAGTGATGGCCAATAGCTGGCCAGACTGACATTCATTCAGACACTTCATTCACTCGTTCGCCACATTATCTCCATAGTGCTGCTCTGTGCCTACCCCTAAGCTGGCTGCCGCCGGAGCCCCAGTACCATTTCCCTACTGGGAACACTTCCATGACTTCTGGTTGCCCCAGTAGAGAGCTCAATGTATTAAGCTTGACGAACTTTTTTTTTTTTAAGATTTTATTTATTTATTTGACAGACAGAGATCACAAGTAGGCAGAGAAGCAGGCAGAGAGCGGGGGGGAGGGGGAGCAGGCTCCCTGCTAAGCAGAGATCCCGAAGCGGGGCTCGATCCCAGGACCCTGGGATCACGACCTGAGCCAAAGGCAGAGGCCTTAACCCACTGAGCCACCCAGGCGCCCCTGAACATTACTTTTTCATCAACTTATTAATTAATCCAACCCAAAAAAGAACTGCTGATATACCGATTGCCAAGTCCATAGTAATATTCATTGGCCACTCCTTGGAGGCATTACTCTGAATACTGGTTAATACTGACTCCTTCTTGGGACGCCTGGGTGGCTCAGTTGGTTAAGCAGCTGCCTTCGGCTCAGGTCATGGTCCCAGCGTCCTGGGATCGAGTCCCACATCGGGCTCCTTGCTCATCAGGGAGCCTGCTTCTCCCTCTGCCTCTGCCTGCCATTCTGTCTGCCTGTGCTCGCTCTCTCTCCCTCTCTCTCTCTGACAAATAAATAAAATCTTTAAAAAAAAAAAAAAATATACTGACTCCTTCTTGGGACACCTGGGTGTCTCAGTTGGCTAGGCGTCTGCCTTCGACTCAGGTCATGATCCCAGGGTCCCGAGATCAGGTCCCACATCAGGCTCCCTGCTCGGCAGGGAGCCTGCTTCTCCTTCCACCTGCTGCTCCCCCTGCTTGTGCATGCTCTCTTTCTCTCTCTCTCTCTCCCCCCGATAAATAAATAAATAAATAAAATCTTGAAAAAAGAAAAATACTGGGGCGCCTGGGTTGGTCAGTAGGTTAAGCGTCTGCCTTCGGCTCAGGTCATGATCCCAGGGTCCTGGGATCGAGCCCCGCATCGGGCTCTCTGCTCAGCAGGGAGCCTGCTTTCTCCTCTCTCTCTCTGCCTGCCTCTCTGCCTACTTGTGATCCCTGTCTGTCAAATAAATTAAAAAGAAAAAAATACTGACTCCTTCTTTGTGTCCCTGCATGGGACAATGCGGGGTGACAGAGCAGTGAGTGAGTTCTGGGCCTGCCCTCCAGACACCAGAGACCACACTCTTAACAAAAACACACACAGACCAATAATAGACTGAGTTCAGTGTGTCACTGTAAGATTTGGGAGGCAAAGAATATGAGCAAGATCCATGGCTGAGACCTGTGGGATGGCTGGGGCTGGGGGCAGGGGATTGGGGAGGGCCAGGGTAATGATCCAGGTTTTATTCTAAGGGCACTGGGAAATCCTGGAGGGAACGGGGCTACCAGATCCCCCACAGGACTGCCCTGGCCCAGCCCACTTAATCCTCTTCTCTTCAGGGTCCCACTGCAGGGCTTGTATTTTTGTCCTTGTTTGTAAAATCTCTGACGTTCAAACTGCTCATCCTGGGCCAGGCCTTGAGCCAAGCATTTAATTAACACAATCCCCTTTCCCCCTCTCACTCTCCTATGAGGATGCTGCTCTCCTGAGGGTGCAGATTCAGGCCACCCAGCCAGTTAAGGGCTGACCTGGGACTGGATCCCACTTCTGGGTCCAGGTCCCATGCCCGGAATCACCGCCCTCTGCCGTCCCTTCTCTCGCTCCGTATCTACAGACCTTGGCTCAGGGCACCCATGGGCCATGCAGCAGAGGACCTCCTGGAGTGTAATTAACTGCTGGACACCACAAAGCTTCGAAGATACAACCGCTTTGTTCCCCTGTAATGGAGTTCATTCATTTTCGCTGCTATATGACATTCTGCTGGTGAGCAGACCGTCATTTATTATCTACCTTGCTGAATTCAATAGATTTGAGTTGGGTCTAGTTTGGGGCGACTGCTGCTCAGAGCGTTCTGGAAAAGGCTGATGGTGTACACCAGCCTAAATGTCCCTACAACATCTGTTTAGCAAGGAGGGCGTTTACAGGGTTACATGTGGATGCTGGGTCTTAATGAGGCCAGACTGTTCTCCAAAATGCTGATGGCAAAACCTCCTCCTTCCCACAGCAGATAAGAGATGACCTGGAGCCCCGTTCTCTCCCACCGGTGACACTGTCAGACTGTTAATGCTTTGTCCGTCCATCGGTGTGAGGGTATCTCATGCCTGCCGACAAATCCATCTCCCCCACCAGACTATAGTAGTCGTGCATCCCATTTGACAGATGAGAAAACTGACAAGAGAGAGGAAGTGATGTGCCCAAGCTCACAGAGGACACAGGGGATAAATCAAGCCAGAAGTGAATGGAGGGAGGAGGGATGAGCAAATGAAGAGACACAGGAGTTTGCTGGCTCTACCCCAGGCCTCCAGCTGCCAGTGGCTGTGGAAGGATCCACTTCCCACTCATCCCGGGAGGGGAGCTAGGGGTCCTGGGTGGCCCTCAGGGGGCCAGCTCACCTGAAGCTCTGGGCACAAGCCGCTTCACGACGGTAGTCACACTCCCAAGCCAGCTCCTGCTGCAAGGCCCGCAGGCTCTGCTCAGCGAACAGGCCTGAGGGGACAGCTGTGTCGGGCAGGGAAGGCCACAGCCTGTCCCCATCATGACAGCCCCCCCACCCCACCCGGCGTTTCCACTCAGGGATGTCTTCTCTTGCCATTCATGTCTCTCACTGTCTGTCACCGTCCCTCACGCCTTCTGCCCCAGGCCTTCTACCACATCATCTGCCCACACCTCCGCTCTGTCCCTCACACAGCTGCGGCCTCTCCTGCAGTCTCCCCCCTGGGGTCTCTTTCTCAGGCACACGTGCCAGGCCCCAGGCATCTCTTTCACAGTCCCACATGCCACTGACCCTCTCTCTTTTTCATAATTTCTCATACTGTTCTCAGGGCCTCAAAATCTTACTTCCATGGAGGCTCCCTTCCTCCCCAACACACACACACACACACACACACACACACACACACACAAGGTCCCGCTTACATGCCCTTCCTGCTTCTGTGGCTCTTTTCCAGACCTCCAGGCCCTCTCTGGGCACCCTGTCTGTTTCTGAATTTCAGTGTGGGCTTCTGTCTCTGGGTCCGTCAGAATGTCTGTTTGTCTTTTTCTCATACATTCAGACTGTCTGGGCTCTCCCTGCCTGGGTGTCCCTTCTTTCTGTCTCACACTCATGGACTTGCACATTCACCCGTGCTCACACCTGAGGGCACACCCTGCCCCCAGCTGGCCTCTCCCCCCACCCATCCAGCCCCACTTTCTCCCTGCAGGGGCTCCCTCCCCGCAGTCAGGGGTGGAGTGGCCTCTCACCCTCGGGCAGGGCCACACTCATCTTGAGCACTGCCAGCAGGTTCTGGACATCACTCTGGATGCTCTGGGCCACGCCTGGGTACTGTGAGCAGGGAGGGACGGAGGGCAGAAGTCACGCCTCTGGGGCCCCAGGGTGCCCTCTTCCACCCCTGCCGCTCCCCCCTCCCCCACTCACCTGGATCTTCACGGCCACCTCCGTCCCATCCCTCAGTGTGCCCTGGTGCACCTGCCCGATCGAGGCTGCAGCAAAGGGCACCTCCTCTAAAGAGGCTACCTTGGCCTGCCAGTCCTTGCCAAGCTCCTCTTCGAGAACTTTCTGCAGATAGTGGTTGAAACAATCATCGTTGCAGTTAAGAACAGGGAGATTTATGGGCTGGAACCTGTCTACGGTGGCTCTGGGAGGGGCAGTCATGACCCAGGGTCACAGGGCCAGTGAGCGGAGAGATCAGAAGGCAGGCAGGCAGCTCGGGATTCTGCACCCTCACCCAGTCACTAGAACAGTTCGTGTCTTGGGCACTTACTTGGGGCCGGGGACTGTGCCAACCTACTTACAGACACAATTGCTTTTAATTAAGAAAGCTAGTACTGGGGTGCCTGGGCTGCTCAGTCAGTGAAGTGTCTGACTCTTGATTTCGGCTCAAGTCTCAATCTCAGGCTAGGAGATCGAGCCCCTCATCGGGCTCTGCGCTCAGTGCAGAGTCCGCTTGAGGTTGTCTCTCCTCCGCCCCTCCCCCACTGGCCCCACTCGCATGTGTGCTCTCTCTTAAGTAAATAAATCTTTCTAAATAACTAGTAATAGGGGTGCCCAGGTGGCTCAGTTGTTAAGTGGCTCTTTTTGGCTCAGGTCATGATCCCAGGGTCCTGGGATTAAGTCCCACATTGGGCTCCCCGCTTGGCAGGCAGCCTACTTCTCCCTCTTCTGCTCCCCCTGCTTGTGTTCCCTCTCTCGCTGTCTCTCTCTCTGTCAAACAAATAAATAAAATCTTTAAAAAATAAAAAAAACTAGTACTAATAACAGTCAGAACTTGCCTGTCACTTGTGGTGTGTCAGGGGCCTTTTCCAAGTGCTTTACAAATACTCACTTATGTAACCCTACAATGCAGGGGTTCCTATCACTATGGCCAGTTACAGATGAGGTAACTGAGGCACTGAGAGGTCAGGCCACATGTCTGAGATTTTGCAGGCAGGACCCGGCAGAGCCAGGATTTGAATGCACAAAGTCCGGGCCCCTAACCTCTGCACCCCCTGCCTCTTTGGCAGCCGTGATGGAGCCCTGAGCCTGCCCGGGACTGCACGCAGCACTCCACGCCATTCTCTCATGTCATCAACGCAACAACTCTCTGAGATGTGTGCTTTAGTGATGCCCATTTTACAGCTGGGGAAACTGAGGCTTCAGCAAGGAAGCCAGGGGTTGGGGGTGGGGGCAGGCTGGTGGAGCCCGCCTCCCTCACCAGGCTTCCCTGATTGGGCACTCACCAGCATCTGCCAGCGGGGCATGAAGTCAGCGCTCTGGCGGACACGCTCGAAGATGCGTTGCAGCTGAGGACTGATGAAGCTGTTATCTGGGGAGACGGAGGGTGGAATGAGGGAAGCAGTGAGGGAGGAGGGAGGGAGGGGCCCCTGCGGGGGTATCTGAAGTCAAAACTTGTAGGTGGGTGGGGGTGCTGAAGGAGTGAGGTCAAGAGTCAGGGGTCGAGGGTCATGGCGTACCCTGGATGCTGAGCATTTGGCCGACCTTGAGGGCGGCCCCCCGCACTGTACACAAGGTCTGCACAATCCGCTCGGCATTGGCCTCTGACAGGAAAGGGCTGGAGCCTGGCCGGGAGCTGCTCTCTGGGGTGGAGAGAATAATCACTGGTATTACGCCCACAGAAAAAGTCATTATAGCATCACTGCAAAACCCCCAGGATGGCTAAAATGAAACCGACAATACCAAGTGTTAGCAAGGATATGGGGCAGCCTAAACACCCATAATGCTGATGAGCATCGTGGCTCAAATCCTTTGGGAAGTTTCCAGTACAGCACATGCCTACGGCCAATGTCATTTCTCTCCTAGGTATGTACCCAGGAAAAGGCGGATGTGTGTCCACTGAGTTATCCCAAGATGGTTCACAGCAGCACTATTCATAATGGTTCCCAGCTGGAAATAACCCGATGACTGTCAACAGAATGAACAAAGGCATGCTGGGAGAGTCACAGAGTGTCTCCTACAGCACTGAATAAACCACCTCCCTCTAACTACAGCCATACGGAGGCATCCCTCCGACAGAATGTTGAGCAAATGCAGCCAGACAGGTATGAGGACGTGCTCTCTGATTACACTGGTATAAAGAGCAAAACCAGTCAAAATTAATCTTGGGGGTCAGAAGTCCAGAGAGTGGTTTCCCTTGGTGGGGATGAGTAGCCAAGACAAGGCAGATAGGAGCTTCTGGAGGAGACAGTGATTCTCAAAGTGTGGTTCCGGGAACCCTGAGAGTCCCCGAGACCCTTCAGGAGGCTCTGTGAGATCAAAACTATTCTTATAATCATATGAATGTTATTTGCCTGTTTTTACTCTCATTCTCCCATAAATGCTCAGTGGAGTTTTCCAGAAATTCCATGACCTGGGATGATGCCATTGCTCTGATGGCTGATGGAATGCATGTGTGTGCGTATTCTTGCATTCTAAAAATATCTTTTCCCCTGAAACTAATATTACACTATATGTTAACTAATTAAAATTTAAATAAAACTTGAAACAGAAAAAAAATTGTTTTAACCTCTAATGCACTAAATATCCATAAATATAACCCCAAAATATAATCTACAACCAGGTTCTTTGGGGTCCTCATTCTATTTTTTATGGCCATGTAATTCACAAACCGTGTAACTCACCAATTTAAGGCATACAGTTCAACGGCTTCTAGGACATTCAGAGTTGTACAACTATCACCACAGGCGATTTTGGAACATTTTCCAGCCCCAACAGAAACCCCATATCTATTACCAGTCACCCCCCCCATTTCTCCCAACCACCTGCTCCGGCATCCCCAGGAACCATTAATCTGAACTCTCTATGAATATACTTGTTCTGGACATTTCCTGTGAATGGAATCATACGGTATGTGTCCCATTGTGTCTGGCTTCTTTTACTTAGGATAGTTTTCGAGATTCATCCACATTGTAGCAGGGATCAGCACTTCATTCCCTTTTCTTTCTTTCTTTCTTTTTTTTTTTTTTTAAAGATTTTTACTTATTTATTTGACAGACAGAGATCACAAGTAGGCAGAGAGAGAGGAGGAAGCAGGTTCCCTGCTGAGCAGAGAGCCTGATGTGGGGCTCGATCCCAGGACTCTGGGATCATGACCTGAGCCGAAGGCAGAGGCCTTAACCCACTGAGCCACCCAGGCGCCCCGATCATTCCCTTTTCTAGCTGAACAGTATCCCACTGTGTGACTGTAAGATATTTTGTTCATCTATTTCTACGTTTTAAGGGTATGCAGGGATCCTGAGATGGCCAAGTTTTCGAACTGCTGTCTCAAGGTTTCCTGATCTGGGCACACAGATGTATCCACTTGGTGAAAATGAACCGAGCTATATGCTTAGGAGATGTGCCTGGCTCTACATGCAGATTATAGGATTATTCAATAAAGCGTTTATTAAGCTTTTATTTATTTGATAAAAAAATTACTGAGCTCTTTATCTAGCTAGGGCTCACTCTGTGCAAAGCAGAATTCCAAGTGTCTCTGTGGCTTCTCTGGCTGAATCCCCATAAGGATCCCAAAAGTAAGAACTACCAATGCCTCAGTTTTCAAGGTGAGGAAGCAAGACATTCAGAGAGGTACAGAGCCTGGCTGGGGGTCACACAGCACAGAGGTAGCAGAGCAGGGGGCAGACTTGGTTTGGGCTTACCTCAAGCCTAATCCTCCACTTCCACCCACCTTTTTATTTTGGGGAGAATAAAAATCCAAAATGAACAGAAAAGTCACACGCCCAGTTTCATGGATACCTGCGTATCCAGTTCAAACTTTTTTGTTTTTTTCCCCCGATTCAAACTGTTCACCTACAGCCTCACCTGCATAATTTATCTGTGTGTATGTGCCCAAACACTCGCCCTTATTTTTCACGGGCCCACTTACATGCAGTTGCATACAACCTGTGCTAAAAATAAGGATATTCCCCTACTCAATCACAGTGCCATCACTGTGCCTATAAAAATGAACACGAGGGGCACCTGGGTGGCTCAGTGGGTTAAGCCGCTGCCTTCAGCTCAGGTCATGATCTCAGGATCCTGGGATCGAGTCCCGCATCGGGCTCTCTGCTCAGCAGGGAGCCTGCTTCCCTCTATCTGTCTCTCTCTCTCTGCCTGCCTCTCCGTCTACTTGTGATCTCTCTCTGTCAAATAAATAAATAAAATCTTTAAAAAAAAAAAATGAACACAAATTCTCTCCTATCTGCTCTTCAGTCCAAATTCAAATGTTCCTGGTTGTCCCCAAAAGTCTTTGATAGTCATTTTTTCTCAGGCTGCCATTCTATCATGGGTCACACATTCCATTTGTCAGTTCCTATGGCCTTAGTCTCTTTTTCATCCAAAACATCCAACCCCATTTTTGCTTCCGGACGTGGGCTTGTTAGGAAATCTTAGCCACCAGTGCTAATCTCCACTCATGTCTTTCCGTTTCTGTTGTCCACAGACACTGCCCACCCCTGGACACTCCTATTCTCAGCTTTCCTCTCCTGCTCTGAGTTTTAGGAGCTCAACTCCCAATTCTTTTTCACACACAATAGGCTTCTGCTCCTCATGACCCTAACAGCAGCTTCATGATGACCCTGAGACGGGGGTACATGATCATTCATTTTCCAGATGAGAAAACGGCTTGGAGAGGTGAAGCCATTCAGCCCAGGACACGTAGCAAAGCCAGGATCTGAACCCAAGTAGTGTGGCTCACTCACTCACCTGATGGTAGACGTCCTCCCAGCAGAGACTTCTTGGCCACCTCTGCCAATGCTCCCAGCCCCAAGCCCACAGCCAGTCCTGGGGAGTGAGAGAGGAGTCTGGGTGCCTGCCTGCCCCCGGGGCCTTGTCACCTGACCCCCGGCTGCTCTCAGCCTCTCCCTAAGCAACCTGTCTCCCAGCTCTTTGCTGGCAACTCTCTGGTTCTCTCTGTCCCCAACTCAGTCTCTTACTTACTCTCTCCCCGCTTGGGGTTCCCTTCAAGGTGCAGCTACCTCTTTCTCCATCACTCTGTCCACGTCTGTCTCCTGGGCCAGAGGTTCTCACCCCTGGCTGTACATCTGAGTCATGTGAGGAGCTACAAGGCCCACCCAGGTAAATAGGAGGCTGAGGTTCTATGGTCTGAAATGAGCCTTAGAATTTGAATTTATATATATATATATATATAATTTTTTTTAAGCATCCTGGATGATTCTAGCATGCAGCTAAGGGTAAGAAAGCCCCGAAATGATCTCCCTGGGTCTCTGTCTTCCTATGACTCCCATTTCTCTGTTCACACTTTTCTTCATGCTCACCTCTCCTTGTCTAAGTTGGGTTTTCTCCGTCTCTCTGCTTCCCTCCACCTGGCATATCAGTTCAGCCCTCCTCTCTCTGTCCTTTTGATGTTATCTCTCTGGCTTTGATTTCCTCTGCCTCCTCTGTCTCTTTGTCACTAAAGACATCTTGAGTCTCTGTCTCTTTCACTGTCACCATCTCTGCAAATCATCATAGCGGCATTTTCTGGGTGCTTGCTACACACTGGGAACCATCCCTGGTGCCTTAGATGCATAAACTCATTTTATCCTTACAGAAGCAAAAAGGAAACCGAGGCTCAGAGAAGTTAAGTAATTTGTCCAGAGTCACAAAGCAAGAGTGCAGCAGAATCACCCCTGGAACCCTGGACAGCCTGATATCAAAGCTCTGCCCACTGCATTTAACTCCCTCTTTATACTGTGAATCAGTATCTTTAAAATTTGAACCATGATCCACACTAAAGAAAACATATGCATTGTAACAGTATATATACATATATTTCATGAAATAAGAACTTCCTTTATTCTACATGTGTACCCATGTTTTCCCTTCTATTTTTTTTTTTTCTTTTAAGATTTTATTTCTTTGAGAGAGACAGAGCACAAGCAGGCGGAGGGGTAGAGGAAGACGGAGAAGCAGACTCCCAGCCGAGCCTGGGGCTCCATCCGAGGACCCTGGGATCATCACCTGAGCCAAAGTCAGATGCTTAACCCCCTGAGCCACCCAGATGCCCCATTCTATTCTTTTTTAATGCTGGTTGCAACCCCCTGAATTATTTCATGCAGACTGTGACCTCAAGTTTGAAAACTCCTGCTGCATAACCTGGGGTCAAGTCACTTCACTTCCCTTTGCCTCCGTTTCCTCATCTATACGGTGGAAATTAACACGCATCAAATTCAGGACAGACAGATCGAGTGTACATGAGGCCTTGCACATTCCATGTGCCAAATAAATGTTACCTTCCTCTCTCTTTCTCTTGGCTTTGCAGGCCTTTGCCTTCCTTCTCTTTCCGTCTCTCACTCCTCTCCCTGTCTCTGATTCACCCTCTCCCCCTTGCTTCGTTCTGTAAACGTGGCCTCCTCTGATCTAGGTTACAATCTCCCACAGTCACACCTACCCCCAAAGTTGGCCAAGCGGCTGATGCGGGAAGCAGGCACCTTGCGTTCTCGAGAGCAGTCGCTCAGCTGGGAAATGGGGAGAAGGTTTGAGGGTGGGAAGGTGAGCATAGCACCCAGGGAGTCCAACCAACCTGCCACCATGCCCTTCCCCAAGCTTGGGAGGCCAGCTGCCTTCAGGGGGTGCTGCTGAATGGGTGGGAGACAATGATACCTGGGGCCGGGGTGTCTTCCTGATCCGGGCCTCCCGTATCCTGCGAATGTCCTCCTCACCCAGGCCTCTGCCAGGCCCATCCTTATGAAACATTTGGGGCCGAGAACCCCCACATGGCCGCTGCAAGAAAAGTGGATATTGGTAAGGAGCGGAGGACATGGGATCTGCGTGGCCCTTTTGGAGCCCTCCCTGTCATTTTACACCCTAAAACCTCCCCCAGACTCTCCCCCTTGGAGACACCTCTCCAGGCTCTTACCCACCAGTGGGGCCCAGGCCCCAAGGCCCCACAAGGCAAACCGACAGTCCGTCCCAGCTGTCCACAGGTCCCCCGCAGTAAGCCCCCCACCTCCAGCCACATCGCCTGGGGGAGAAGGGGATTACTCGGGTAGGGGTTGGCACTGACTTCCCCGCTTTGCCCTCGTCTTTGCTAAGCCCTCACATTCCTCTGTGTCCATCCTAAGATTCCCACCCACTAAAGACTTCCTTTCCCGTTTAATAGTTCCCCCAGTTTCTTCTGGTTCCCTCTCTGGTTGCTAGGAATCCATAGCTCTTTCTGCGCACCTCCCAAAACCCACTTTCGCCCTGTCCCACTCCCCGCCGTTGCTAGGGTCCTCCCCCGTTGCTAGACACCCACAGATTCTCCAGGGCTAGCTCTCCACTCCTCTGAGCCCCCCTCGTTGCTAGGCACTGCCTTCCTTTTTGTTGCTAGGCACCCACAATTCCTACCCCCCACACCCCAGCCTCCCATTACTGGGCACCTCCCCCCGTTGCTAAGCACCCACTGTTCCCAGGATCCGGGTCCGCTACAAGCGGGAGCCTCTCGCGCTTCCGGGAGTCTCTGCACACCCGCCCCCTCCGGTTAGCTAGCCAATGGCGGAGTAGCACCTCACTGACTGGCGCGTAGCTTGCCCCGCTGTGCGTCAGGGGCGGGACTAGGGGCGTGGCCTGAAGGTGGGCGTTGGGGCTTGCTGGGATTGTTGGGGCAACCCGGGAGCCGCGCACGTGCGTGCCGTTTTCTGCCTTTCTCCGCACTTCAGAGTTCCTTGTGCGTGGCAGACATTTCTTTACCCCCCACACCGTTGTTTTTGCAAACATCCCTTACGAACTCCGCCTCTCTTCTCTGCGCGAACATCTTACCAACCTACTTTCTTATTTTTATCCCCAACAGACTGGACGTCTTTCCTTTGAACACACATCTTCCCAGCAAACATATCCCTTGCTCCGGGAGCCCCTCCACTTTGCACATCAATCCTCTGCTTCAAACACCCACATGCTGGCACCCATCTTCTTCCCTCGCGCATATAAACCCCCATGCCTTGCTTGCCAACTGCCCCCCTCTCATACACCTCCTCACACTCAGCCCTTTGCACACTGGGCCCCCTTTCTCTCATACACTCTGCTCTCTCTCCGCTCCCCGCCCACCTGCGGGATGGTGTGAGTGGGAGCCCTCTGTTTCCTGTAGGCCTGACATTTCCCAGAACACACTCAGCCAAGATTCCCAGTGCTGAGTCAGGAGCCCTGGCATCCCAGAAAACCAGCTCCCAGCCCATCTGGGTGTCTGTTTGCGGGGCGGGGGTAGGGCAGGCGGGCCTAAAGCCTGCTCCCCCAACCATAGGCTGACTCACCCCTCCTCACAGTCTGGAATAGAAGCAGCTTGCTGGGGCATCTCTCCCACCTTTGGGAGAAGGAAGGATGTGACAGGAGGGATGGGACACTTTCCTCACAGAACCTTCCCCACCCCCAACTGTCTAACCCTTTTGGTTGGAAGTCAGACCTCCCTCTCTGTGCTGTGACCTGAGAAGATCCCCAACTCTTTCTGGACTTCTTCCCAGCCTGTGTGACTTGTTAGAGGGCTCCTGTATGATTCCTCACTGGTCTGTGAAGAGATGACTCACTTTAGAGCCTTGGGCCTGTGCCCAATGCCCCCCCCCCCCATGACTCAATTTCAGGACAAAACACCCCCTGTCACCCTCTACACGTAAGGGTCTGACTCAGGAGCCGGGTGACAGCAAACCCTTGGGGGCAAAAATATATAAAAAGCACCTATGTCAATAATTAACCCTATAGAACTGTGTTTGGTGCCAAGGCTTCCCCTTTATGAGGTCATATCAAAGGCTACAAGCAAAGGTTAGAGGCTGGCAGATTTCTGAGCCTCAGTGTTCCGTCTGTAAAATGGGTCTGTGTCGTCTTGCTCAGTGTTAGAAGTGCAGTGAAACAGTGTCTGTAACGAGCTTCTCACAGGACCTGGTACAGAACAAGAGCTCTATACATGAGAGAAATTTCTTTTGGAAAGGTCATTCTTTCCAAATTTCCTAGTAAGCACTTAGCATGTACTTTTCTAATGGACACAGCAAGGGAAAATCCAGGCAAAAATATTTGCTCTCTTGGTGCTGGCTTCTGATGAGGGCCAAAATTAAAAATAAATACATAAATAACTATATTTAATAAGGTGACATGTATTAAAGAGAAAAATAAATCAGGAAAGGGGGGGCAAGGAGGAGAGAGATTTTGAGCTTTTTTTTTTTTTTTAAGATTTTATTTATTTATTTGACAGACAGAGATCACAAGTAGGCAGAGAAGCAGGCAAAGAGAGAGAGGAGGAAGCAGGCTCCCCACTGAACAGAGAGCCCGATGCGGGGCTTGATCCCAGGACGCTGGGATCATGACCTGAGCCGAAGGCAGAGGCTTTAACCTGAGTTTAAACAGATTTTTGAATGGTCAGGGAAGACCTCACTGAGGAGATAACTGAGGAGGTAACATTTGAACAGAGACCTGAAAGAGACAGGGAGGGAGGCTATTGGAATATCAGAGGGAAAAACATTCCAGGCAGAGAGAACAACCAATGCAAAGGCCCTGTGGTGGAAAATATCTCAGAGAAATAGCAAAGAGGCCGATAGGCATAGCTAGTGAAGGGGAAAGAAGAGAGGAGGTCTGGGATGTAACTAGAGGCAGATCACTTAGGGGTTAGTGAGTCACAGGGAAGACTATGGCTTTTACTCTGTGGGTTGGGAACCATTGAGGGCTCTGAGTAGAGGAGGACATGATCCCATTTAGAGAAAATACTCTGAACTTCCGGCTTTTTCTCTCACACCCCCAGCCTCAAAAGCAAGTTCTATCGCCCTGTAGGGACCATGGGCCTGAGTTCAAGTCTACACAACTTAGATTTATGACCTTGGACTCACTGCTTTGTCTTTCTGTGCCTTGTTTTCCTGTTTGTGCAAAGAATGACGATGATCCCTACCCCACAAGAGTTGGGGCATAAACTGTTAAGTACAGCAGCTGGCACAAAGCAAGTAAACAGATGTAAATGTTGTAAATTAATAAAACTCCCATAACTCTCCTGTGAGGAAATTATCCCCCACTATCCCTTTTTCGCAGATGAGAAAACAGGCTCAGAGGAGACAAGTCTGCAAGGAAAGAGCACCCCAGAAGTGACTGCTAAAGCTGAGATTTGAAGCCAGGCATCCTAGCTTCGGAGTTAAGGTCCTGGCTTGCCCCTCATCTAACCTCACCTTTAGACAAATTCTTTCATGGCTCTGGAACTCAATACCCCTGTTGGTAAAAATGCCTGCCTCTTGTGGTATCGAACACACGTTTTCTAAAATAATATTATGTATCCTCATTTTACAGGTGAGAAAATTGAGCCTGGGGCTGGGGCAGGAGGGAGGGAAAGTAAGTCACACACTGCAGGTAACACGGCTAGTCAGTGGTGGAGGCGGGTCTTGAAGCCAGGTCCAAAGGAATTCCAAGTCTTTGAAAGTCAGTCCGTGCCCCATCGGAAGAATGGCAGCGCTGCTGGACTCGTCATCGAGGATTACAGGAAGGCTAAACTGGTCACTCGAGGGTGTAGGAAGGTCGGATTAGTTGCAGGGGTCGAGGAAGGGGTTCCCACCGCCCCGCAGCCAGGACACCAGGGGCTCACACCCAACCTCGACCAGTTTCGAGCTCTTGGACAGGAACCTCTCCAACAGGACCAACCTCTTCAACCTCCTGGAACCAGGCAAGGCCCGTCCCCCTGGCGTCACGTCCGGGGCGGGGCCTCGGGGCTTTCCCGGTTGGTGGGGGGGGGGCAGAGTATCGGTTAACCCCTGCGCGGCCGGACGGGCAGGACTTCGCGGGCCGGAACCCGCGAGTCGGGGCTCCCCAGCCACACCCCTCGCGGGATTTAAAGGGGCAGGAGGGGCCGGGCCGGGTCGAAGCCCGAATCTAGGGAGCGGGCATGAGGCGCTGCCCGTGCCGGGGGAGCCTGAGTGAGGCAGAGGCCGGGGCCCTGCCAGGAGCGGCCCGCATGGGGCTGGAGGCGCCGCGAGGGGGGCGGCGGCGGCAGCCGGGACAGCAGCGACCTGGGCCCGGCGCAGGGCGCCCGGCTGGACGGCCCGACGGGGGCGGGCCCCGGGTCCGGATCGAGGGGCCCAGCCTCCACACCGAGCCCGAGAGGGTCGGCCTCGGGCCTGAGCCAGGGACAGACGGACAGGTTGAGCCCGAAGCAGCTCGCCTGGGAGTGGAGACAGAGCTGCCGGGCCAAAAGACGGAGCCAGACGTATCCAGCCTCCGGGCGTGTCCCGAAAGGAGCAGCCACTGGTCAGAGCTGGAGACAGCCGGTCCCTGGACGGAAACTGGGACAGATGGCTTTTGGACTGGTCCACACAGGTCTGGCCTCCAGTCTCAGCCAGAGAGGGCCAGCCTCTGGACGCAGCCCAGAGTCGATGGGCCCTGGACAGAGATAGAGATACATGGGACACAGACCCAACCAGAGAGGGCCAAGACCTGGGCTGAAAACATCCAGACCCACAAGAACAGGTCCAACCTCCGGACTCAACCAGAGGGGGGCCGTCCCTCAACAGAATCGAGTGCTGATGCCTCCTGGAAAGAAGTGTACACTGATGGCTCCCAAATACAACAGGATACTAAAACAGCCTGGAAGCAGGTTGGCACTGAAGATTTCCCAACACAGCAAGATACTGTTGGCTCCTGGACATGGTCTGGCACTGATGGTGCTCAGACACAAGATATTCATGGACCCCAGACAGAACCTGGGACAGACTGTTTTTTGGGGGAGTCCAAGCAGGATGGCACATTAGAGGAACCAGAACCTGGGGAGTTGGGGACTCACCTATACTCTCACCTGGAGTGTAGCTCCCTGACCCCTGTGCCCCGCCTCATCATCACTCCTGAAACACCTGAGCCTGAGGCTCAGCCAGTGGGACCCCCCTCCCGGGCTGAGGGGGGCAGTGGCGGCTTCTCCTCTGCCTCCTCTTTCGACGAGTCTGAGGATGATGTCGTGGCCGGGGGCGGAGGTGCCAGCGACCCTGAGGACAGGTCTGGGGTGAGTGGGAACCATCCTGCCCTTGAGCCACACCTCTCCAGACCCCTTATCCCATACCCTTGCCTTTGCTTTGAGAAGTTTTCTAGTACCCACCAACAATTTCATCTCAAGGTACCTGCCTCTTCCATCTGTCAGCCTCCTCCCTCTACCATTGGGGTTACCAACCCACTCCTGGCACACTCCTCAATCCTTTCCTTTTCTTTTCCCCCCACTGCCTCTGGTACTGGTGTCTAAAGTGGACAGCTGCTGGTTGACTTAGCGGTGCCCAGGAATTCCTGAAATTGTGTGATCGTGCGAGTCTGTGTGTGTACACACATATTTCTGCATCGAGCGTGTATGACTTCTTCGGATTTTCTAGAAAGTATGTAACCTCAAAATCTGGAGTGCTCTAGTATAGAAGGACAGAAAAGGTGCACTTTTCCCCCCTCTGATTTTTTAGTCTAGGGCCTGTGACTGTCTTAAGGGGTCCTGAACCTTCATCACCCTTTAGCCATTCATTTTTGTAGGGAGTGATAAAAAAGTGAGCCCCCCGCTTTTATCAGATTCTCGAAGGGTTGTGTGAGCCCCAAATTCTAAGGATGCCCAGCTTAGCCAGGGAGCTTCTGGTCTCCCGGTTGCCCCCCAGCTCCCCACGGCCGGGGGGGGGGGGGCCTGCAGACTCTTGTTTACATCCTCGGCTTGGGTGTGGTTCTTCCCTGGTGAATCAGGAGGGCTGGGCAGGGAAGGTTCAGGGAGGGTCAGCACCAAGGCAGGTGTGAGAGCCTCAAGTGGGTTGGTCTGCTGGGTCTTACCACTCTCCTGGGGCCTCTGGCTGGAGTCTGCCCTGAGGCCCCCTCTCCCCCCAGGCCTTCCTTAGGAACGTGCTCACACGTGTGGCCACAGGTAGAGACAGACCTGCCTCGACCTGCCTGCACCCAGAGCAAAGGATCTGACTCTGTGATCTTTATGCCTTCGCTGTTCCCTCCACCTACTCTCTCACATTCTTGGCATCTCAGGACAGCTGATCTGGAAAACAATGGAAAAAAAATAATAGCAGCTAGCACTCATTTATGCGCAGCTCTGGACTAAGCTCGTTGCTCATATTAACTCATTGAATCCTCATGGCAGCTCTATGAGGTAGAGACTATTATTAATCCCATTTTATAGATGAGGAAACTGAGGCCCAGACAGGTCATGACACTTGTCCAAGGTCACACAGTTTGGAAGACACAGAGCTGGGATTCAAACCCTTGGAATACCAGGCACTTTTCTAGGTGTCGTGTACGTGTTAACCCCAAGTTCTCAGAACAGCGCTCTGAGATTGGGATTATTATCGTGTCCACTTTATAGATGAGAATACTGGTTTCAAGAAGTTCAGCCACTTGCTTAGGGTCGGTCAAGCCTGGTTGGAGCCAGGATTCTAATTCATTTCTGGCTGAGTTTAAAACCCAGTTACTTCAGCCTCTGGGACGTATGGGTCGATCTGTCCCTCACTTGCTTTCCTCTCAGACCTCCCTGTGTCCAGTTTTTCTTCATCCTTCCAGAATCTGCCTCCAAGACCCACTTTTGGTCAACTTTTGAAACTTCCCTGCTTTCCGTGCCTTCCATGGATCCCCAGGGCCTTCCATACAGTGATCAGAAATTCAGTCCTCTGTTCAGAGCTTCCTGTCTCCAGGCTGCTTCCCACGTTCAGCTTCCGTGCTTCCCTCCTGACCCACTCCACTGCCATAAAGCTCAAGGGCACACCATCCTGCCCCCTCTCATTGCTCTCACTGCCCAAAAAACAAACCCTGGCTTCCTTCTTGTTTCATTTTGAAATCCCAGACAGACCCACCACCCTATGGAGTGGTCAGGGCTGGGATAGGGGAAGCCGAGTGTTGTGGAAGACCGTGGTCGGGGTGGGGGCGTGTGTGATTGGCTGCACCTGGGGTATCAGAGAGGGCTTCCTGGAAGAGGGGGTGTGGAAGAGGAGACCATTGTGAAATCATCTGAGAAAACCTGGATTAACCATCAGGTCTAAGAAAGAGAAAAGATACTGAATCTGCTTATGATAAAAAAAAAAAAAGAAGAAGGAAGGAAAAAAAAAAAAGACCATAACAACTAATACAACTAATGTTCTTTAGTCCAAGTGATGTTTTTGGAGCGGCTGTTTGTGCTAGACTGTGGCTGGGGACATAGGCATAACTATGAGAACCCCAATCCCTGCCTTCAGAGTTCATAGTCCAGCAGGGGTCTAGCTTGTCAGCCCAGGGCGGTGGGTTCCGAGTCGGAACCCCAGCACTGCGCTGTGTGACTGAGGCAACTGATTTCATCTCTCTGGGCCTCTGTTTCCTCTGTAACAGAGACAACAATCCTCCTGGGGTTGTGTTTGTAGGATTAAGTAGGTTATGGCTCACCGAGTCTTTGTCATTGTGCCTGGAATGTTCCAGGTGCTTAGTAAACAGGAACCTTTATTAATCACCTCCTCTCCACGGCTGGCAGCTGGAGGGTGGAAGGAGCAGCGATTCCTGAATCCTCCAGTCCCAGCGCCCTGCCTCTGCATGACCTTCCCACCATCAGTTAGATGTCTGCCAGGTGGCCGAGCTCTGAGCGGGTGGGAGAGAACATGGCTTTAACCAGGGTAGTGGGGGGATGGGCCACACAGCTTCCTTCTCTGGAAAGGACCCCTTGTCCTAACATTTGCCTTAGGGCCTGCCATGTGCTTGGAGCAAAGAGTGTGTTCTTGTGTCTGTGCACACGTGCTCATGCTTGTGAACCAGACACTGACCCGGTCCCAAGAACCTCTTGGCTGAGTCAACCCGATACAAATAAATCTTTGTTTTCAGTTCGCTTTACTGGTTTTATGTTGCTTGTTCTCTCTTTCTTTGCTTCTGCTTATCTCTTTCTTTCCGGTCATTGCTTTGTATCCATGTCTCCCTTTCTGTCTTTCTGTATTTTCTTTCTTTGTCTTTTGGCAGCCCTGTCTCTCTCTTAGTCAGGCTAGGTCAGGGTTTGCTGTAGTAACAAACAGCCCCCAAACTTAGTGACCTGGAACAACACGGGATTATTTTTGTTCACACTGCACAGGGACTGTGAGCCACTGGTGGGTGAGGGAGCTCTGCTCCATGCTGTCTTCACTCAAGGCCAGGACTGAGGAAGCTTCTGTTTCTTTTTCCACACTCCCCACCCCATTGTACAGCAGGGCAAAGGACACGGAAACTCATGTACTGGCTTTCACGCTTCTGCTCACATTTCATTGGCCAAAGCAAGTCAGAAACCCAAGGTCAGGATGGCAGGGATGTCCCTGGAACAGGGAAGGGCAGGAGCCATTTGGTGAGCTGTGCTCATGACTGTCCCAGTCTCTGGGTCCTGTGCCTGTCTCTCTGGCTCTGTCATTACCTTGTCACCTGCTTCTGTTTCTGTCTTTTCTCTGCGGTTCTGCCTCCACTCACCAACTCCTGCTTCTGTCATCTTCTCCAGAAGGTCTGACTTGGTTTTGGGACAGAAGGGAGGTTTCCAAGTATTTGGTGTGTGTCTGTGGAGGGGAAGACTTGGGGGGCTGCTTGTTACTGTAGCAAGATCTGGCCTATTTCTACTCTTTGAGGACAGAAGAAAATGGACAGACTCTTCCCCACCTTGGCTGAGGTCTTTGGGGGACCTCGAGGTGGCTGAAGTGGTGGGTGTTGCTCAGCCCTGTGAGCTTGGGAGCAGCGATCCCAGGAAGCCCCCTGGCCCTGGAAAGTCTAGCTGGTTCCCCTCAGTGCAGCACCCTATCCCCTTCCCTCCCTGCCCTTGACACTGACCCTACCCTGCTCTGCCTCACACAGAACAAACCATGGAAGAAGCTGAAGACAGTTCTGAAATACTCGCCCTTCGTGGTCTCCTTCCGAAAACACTACCCTTGGGTCCAGCTGTCGGGACATGCTGGTGAGAGCAGGGGTGTGGGCATTGGCAGGGGGCAGAGAAGCCTGGGCTGGGGGAAGAAAGCTCCAGAGCCATTCTCCATAGCTCAGCTTGCCCATCTGTCACGTGGGCTTGAGGACAGTTTCCCCATCACGAGGCTGGTATGGGACGTGCTTAGGCCTGGGTCGGGCCATCCGTACATCAGGACTGTAGGCTGTTCCCTGTTGTCTCAGTGCCGGGGGGGGGGGGATGGGGAGCAAATCCTAACCCTGGGAGAAGAATGGTCCTGGGCTCAAAGCTTTATATATGGGAGACCCTGGGCCAGTTACGTTCTCTTACTAGGCCTTGGTTTTCTCACCTGTGATATGGAGATCACCATACCTCCCTTGCTGGCTTAACAAAAGGGTTAAGATAAAAATGTATATGCACGGGCCACCTGGTTGGCTCAGTCGGTAGAGCATGCGACTCTGAATCTCAGGGTTGTAAGTTCAAGCCCCACATTAGGCATGGAGCCTGCGTAAAATAAAAATAAAGTCAGGTATTTAAGAAAATGATAAACCAAAATGTCTGTGGAGATTGAGACGTGGGCCCTTATAAATGGAAATAATCCTTCCTTGTTCTCTCCTCATGGCCAGATAGAGTAGGCCCTCCGTAGACAGCAGGTCTGATGGTTTTCCCCAGGTCCTGGCATGATGTCTCTGATAGTAGCCCAATGCCCAGCACAGAGCAGTTTCTGAAAAAGAGCAAGATAATAAATGTGTTAGGTTCTGTGGGCCAAATAGGCTCAGTCACAACAACTCAGTACTGTTGTTACCCAGCATGAACGCAGCTACAGATAATGCATAAACACGTGAGCGTGTCTGTGTTCCAATAAAACTTTATTTACAAAAAGACAGTAGTGGTGAGAACTAGACAAATGGGGTGGGTCCACCAGCAAAGGGAGACAAGAAGGGGACTTAGCTACCTGGTTTGTTGCCAGATCTGTCATTGAAAAGGCCGGCTCCCCCAGCCACGGGACCGCCATCTCTCTGCATTCTCATTACTCTGGCTGAGTTAAAATACCAAAAAAAAAAAAACAAAACAAAACCCTCAGAAGTGAGTGCTTAAAAGAAGACTTAGTGGAATCAAAGGACCATTTTATTGCAGTCCCAGGTTTGGGGTCAGGAGTCCAGATGGACCATGGCAGGGACGGCCTGTTGCTGCATCATGGTATCTGGGAACCCAGCTAGGACAACTCTTTCAAACACAGCAGGGTGGAAACTTTATTTTAAAGATATTATTTATTTATTTGACAGGGAGAGACTTAGTGAGAGAGGGAACACAACCAGGGGGAGTGGGAGAGGGAGAAGCAGGATTCCTGCTGAGCAGGGAGCCCGATGTGGGGCTCGATCCCAGGACCCTGGGATCATGACCTGAGCTGAGGGCAGACACTTCATGACCGAGCCACCCAGGCACCCAAGGCTGAAACTTTTGAGATGCATTCATGCCTGTGCCTTGCGATCGATTGTCAGCTGGCTCTCAGCTGAGACTGTCTCCGTGTGGCTTCTCTGTGTCGCTGCTTGGGCTTCCTCACAGTATGGTGGCCTCGGACTAGTCCACTTTCTTCCCCAGCTGCTCAGGACGGCAGAGGCAAGCGTCTCTGCCCACAGAGTGGAAATCACTTTTCCTCTTGTGACCTAGACTCTGAAGTCCCAGGGTCGCTTCTGTCATCAGCCCACCCAGGTTCAAGAGGAGAAGAAGAATTAGATTCCACTTCTTGATGGGGAGTGGTGAAATTCTAGAAGAACCTGTGGGCCAGGAGTTATTGTTGCAGCCATCTTTGGAGAACATAGTCTGAAAATACACTTTGCCTCAGTAAGAATTCGTAGTTCTAATCTGTACACAATCTGCAGGGGCCAGGAAATGCCAGATTTGTCATTTAACTTTTTGAAGACTTTTTTTTTTTTTTAGGTTTTATTTATTTATTTGTCAGAGAGCGAGAGAGCACAAGCAAGGGGAGAGGCAGGCAGAGGGAGAAGGAGGCTCCCAGCTGAGCAAGGACCCTGATGGGGGACTTGATCTCAGGACCCTGAGATCATGACCAGAGCTGAAGGCAGATGCTTAACCAGCTGAGCCGCCCAGGCGTCCCTACAGTTAAATTGGCCCCAGGTGTTAGCACTGTGGAACTCTAGGCAGAAGCAAATGCAAATTTTTAAAAAAAATTTTTGAAGGTTTTTATTTATTTGACACACAGAGAAATCACAAGTAGGCAGAGAGGCAGGCAGAGAGAGAGAGAGGAGGAAGCAGGCTCCCCGCTGAGCAGAGATTCCCGATGTGGGACTCGATCCCAGGACCCTGAGATCATGACCTGAGCCGAAGGCTTAACCCACTGAGCCACCCAGGTGCCCCAAAATTTTTTTTAAGATTTTTTTATTTATTGGAGAGAGAGAGAGAGAGAGATAGTGAGAGAGCACAGGAGCAGGGAAGAGAGGGAGAAGCAGGCTTCTCGCAGAGCAATGATCCTGATACAGGGCTCAATCCTGTAGGGAGGATCCTGATACAGGCAGGCAGAGGGAGAAGGAGGCTCCCAGCTGAGCAAGGACCCTGATGGGGGACTTGATCTCAGGACCCTGAGATCATGACCCAAGCTGAAGGCAGATGCTCAACCTCCTGAGCCACCCAGGTATCCCAAAGCAAATGCAGATCTGCTCTGGAGCATCATGCCCTCCACTCGGATCGCACAAAAATTCCCACAGCCGATCACGAGCTCCCCATGTAAAATGACAAAACAAAAGAGGACACAACGTGCTATGAACAGGACTCCGAACAAGGAACAGCAGGTCCTGCCCTTGCCACATCAAGGCCAAGACTGTGACAGTTGCGGGGAGGAAGAGAAAGCCCTTCAGAAGGGTCAGGCAGGAGGAGGGAAGCCACGATCCAATGCATCTGGGAGATGAGGAGATCCTCGGGCTGATCCAGCTTCTTGTCCACTGTGCTGCTCCTAGGGAACTTCCAGGCAGGAGAGGACGGTCGGATCCTCAAGCGTTTTTGTCAGTGTGAGCAGCGCAGCCTGGAGCAGCTGATGAGTGACCCCCTTCGGCCTTTCGTGCCCACCTACTATGGCGTGGTGCAGCGGGATGGCCAGGCCTTCAACCAGATGGAAGATCTCCTGGCAGATTTTGAGGGCCCCTCCATCATGGACTGCAAGATGGGCAGCAGGTAGGTTGAGGGGCAGGTGTGGGGCCAAGGTGAAGGGCCAGGGGATGCCCAACCAACTGAGCCACTCAGACGTCCCCCACTTCCCTCTCTTAATTGTATCTTTAGATAAACAGAAGCACTTTTAATCCAGGCCAGTTTGCCATTTTTCATTGTGATTAGGAGCTTTGTGTTTAAGAAATCTGCCTACTCCAAGATTGTGTGATCTCCTGTGTTTTCTTCTACAAGCTTTATTGTTTGAACTTTCACATCTAGCTTTGTGATCCATCTAGCATTAATCTTTATACATGGTGTGAGGTAGGGATTGAAATCCCCCCCATGTCAATATCACAAAACTGTTGACCCAGCGTCGTTTATTGAGAAGACCTCCTTTTCCCCACTGAATTGCTGGGCCTTCTTCGTTGTAGTTCAGTTGAATATACACGTGTGCATCTGTTTTTAGACTCTGTTTCTGTCCATCGATCCAGTTGTCTATTCTTGTGCCATGCTGTGGGTTTATTACTTGTCTTGATATCAGAGAGTATGTCCTGTGTCTTTGTTCCTCATAGTTTTCTTTGTCACGTCCTCTGTGTCCCAGGACCTACCTGGAGGAGGAGCTAGTGAAGGCCCGAGAAAGGCCCCGGCCCCGGAAGGACATGTATGAGAAGATGGTGGCTGTGGACCCCAGGGCCCCCACCCCTGAGGAACATGCCCAGGGTGCTGTCACCAAGCCCCGCTACATGCAGTGGAGGGAGACCGTGAGCTCGACCTCCACTCTGGGCTTCCGGATTGAGGGCATCAAGGTGAGGGCCAGGAGCTGCTTGCCTGTCACCAGAGGCCTGAGCACTAGATCAGAGACAGGGCCTCATGGGGAACATGGGTGTCAGGGAAAGCTGGGGAGAAGCAGGATGTGGAGAAAGAGTGGGAGACTGTGGAAGATGAGTAGACAGGGGCTCAGGGAGGTCCTGCTTCTCTCTCACCCCTATCAGTGTCCAAGTTTTGTTTACCTGTTTCCCTGAGCAGCTCCTAATTCCCTCTGCTCCCCTCCCTATGGCCCTGCCCTAGTCCACCCATCTTTCCCGCCTAGTCTTCCTAGTCTCCCTGGTCTCTCTTCACCCCAGCCTCCCTGGTCTCTCCCCCGACCTCCAGCCTCTCTGGTCTACCCCCCAACCCCACCACCAGCCTCCCTGGTCTCCCCCACCAGCTTCCCTGGTCTCCCCCAACCCCAGCCTCCCTGGTCTCTCCCCCACGAGCCTCCCTGGTCTCTCCCCTACTAGCCTCCCTGGTCTCTCCCTGTCCAGCCTCCCTGGTCTTTCCCCCACAACCCTACCACCGACCTCCCTGGTCTCTCCTGTCCTAGGCTGCCTGGGCTCCTGCGTCCTTGTCTCACCCCCTCTGATCTGCATCTAACATGGCCGCTGAAAGGATCCTTACTCCCCTGTATGGGGAAAGATTTCCTTTTTGCTTTCTCTCTTTCCTTCTTCCTCTCCCTTTTTTGTAAATTAAACCTAATTGTTTGAAGACGGATTCACACAGTTTAAAAATCTGAATTATATAAAAGGGTATGGGGGGGCATCTCTTTCCTGACCCTGCTGCTCTCCTTCCCATTCTGCCCCTCCGCCCCTGCCTGCTCCTGGAGAACCACCTTCTGGTTTCTTCTGTTTCTTCCTGCAAATACAAACAAATGCAATTGCATATCCTGAATTTTCCTTCTCCCCCTCTTGCACAAAAGGTAGCATAGCCCTGGAGAATTTTCCATATCATTCCATGGAAAGTCTGCCTGCCTGCCTTCCTTTCTTTTCCTTTCTCCCTTCCTGTCTTTCTCAGCTGTGTAATAGGTCTCTCTGGATGAGATACAGGCCCCTACGGATGGCCACCTGGGTTTCCACTTTTTGCCATTATAAACAGTACCTCAGTGAATCACTTTATATACAAGACACTTTGCAAGTGGGTGGGTTAAGCTGTAGATGAGAGTCCCAGAAACGGGCACGGTGTCGAAGATGAGGTACATTGGGAATTTGGCTAGAGATTGTCAAACTCCTTTCACGGGAGTAAGACCATTTCACACCCCACCAATGACACATGAGAGTACCCGTTTCCCAACAACCTTGCCTGAGCCATCTTTCTGAGTTGTACATCTGATGCTCATTCTCCTATTCAAAATCCTTCCATGGCTCCCTAGTCTCCTCGAGAGAAGTTCCCTGGCCTAGAGGGCGCTCTAGGGTTTAGCCTCATCTCTCCCCAATCTCTTCCTCTTCATCTATCTTTAGGCCACACTAAAGCAGTTTCATTTGCTTTAAAGAGTCCCGCTCTTTCCTGCCACAGGACCTTTGCGCATGCTCTTACCCCATGTCCCCCTGATTGACTCCCAGTCATTTTTCTGTCTCATTTTTAATTTAATTTAATTTAATTTTAAAAATTCATTTGAGAGAGAGCGCACGCACACACATGGTGGGGAGGGGCAGAGGGAGAGGGAGAAGCAGATTTCCCTGCTGAGCAGGGAGCCTGGTATGGGGCTTGATCCCAGGACCCAGAGATCATGACCTGAGCCAAAGGCAGATGCTTAACCATCTGAGCCACCCAGGCACCCCTATTTTTTATTTTTATTTATTTATTTGACAGAGGGAGACACAGTGAGAGAGGGAACACAAGCAGGAGGAGTGGGGGAGGGAGAAGCAGGCTTCCAGCTGAGCAGGGAGCCCGATATGGGGCTCAATCCCAGGACCCTGGATCATGACCCGAGCCAAAGGTAGATGCTTAACGACTGAGCCATCTGGGCGCCCCTGTTTTTTTATTTTTAAAGATTTTATTTATTTATTTGAGAGAGAGAGATCATGAGCAAGGGAGGGGGTAGAGGAAGAAGCAGACTCCCCGCTGAGCAGAGAGCCCAACATGGGGCTGGATCCTAGGACTCTGGGATCATGATCCAGCTGAAGGCAGACACTCAACAGACTGAGCCACCTCCAGTCTTTTAAATTTCACTTCCTCCAGGAAGCCCACATTGATTTCTATCGTGCCAGATCAGGGCCCTATCTTTACTTCATTATTCTTATTTCCCTTTGTGATGATCTTATTCCATACCTGCCTCCTTCACCCGACTATGTGTCTGTCCTGTTACCTTCATGTTCTCAGCACCCACACAGCACCTGGCACAATGGGGCAGAATGACTCAGCTGGCTTCTCTGTGCCCCCTCAGATATTAAAAAAAAATAATAATAACACTAGTCTCATTTATGGAGTGCTTCTTTAACTGTGCACCAGGCACTGTGCCATGCGTCGTACCCATCCAGTCTCCTCTAATCCTTATACTGGCTTTAGGTGGTAAATACCAATACAGTCCCCATTTTCCAGATGTGGGAACTGAGGCTGAGGCCGGGGAAGCAGGTTGTTTGAAGGCCGCCAGCTTGGAAGTAGCAGAGGCACTGTTCAAAGCCAGACCCAGCCCTCTCCAAAGTCCACTTGGCTAGACTGGGTCAACCAGGGGGTTCAGTGTTAGACTGGGAAGGACTGGTTGCTCTGGAGTGGGCCTTGGTGGAACTGGCCTGGTGGGCGAGTGGTCTCCTCCTCCCGAGCGGCCAGGAGCCCGGGGACAGGCAGGTGGTCCCGGGAGGTGCCTGAGGCTGCTTGGTGTCAGCCCATGAAGGAAAAGTTACGACACTGTGTCTTCTTCACCCCTCGCCCTGCAGAAGGCCAATGGGACCTGCAACACCAACTTCAAGAAGACCCAGGAGAAGGAGCAGGTGACAAAGGTGTTGGAGGACTTTGTGGAGGGGAACCGTGGCATTCTGGTGAGCGGGACACCCATGCCCCGAATTTGGCAGCTTAAGACCACCGCTGCCATCATTGCTCCTAAGGCAATGGTCTGCTCCAGGCCCGGGTTGGCCGACACTGGCCTGCCTTGCTTACCATCTGCGGTCGGCTGGTGGCTTGGCCAGAGCTGGCTGGTCCAGGAGGGCCCTGCTCATGTGTCTGGTGATGGGCTCACCATCTCGGCTCATGACTTGGCCGCTTGTCTCTCACGCTCCAGCAGGCGAGCCTGGGCATGTTCTCAGGGTGCAAGTGGGTGGCCCAGAGAACCAGCAAAAACACAAGATGTCTCGATGGCTCAGAGTGGCCGCCATCATTTCTGCCCCGATTTACCGGCCAGAGCAAGTCCTCTGACCAAGCCCAGATTCAAGGGACTCAGATTCCACCCCTCGGTTGGAGGAGCTGCTGGGAATTGTGGGTGTTCATGTAGTCTCCCAGCCACGCTCCGCTCTGTGCCACCCAGGGGCGGCCAAGCCTCTGCCTGCCTCCCGTTTCCCCCGCGCGGCTCCCCTGATCTCATCCTGGCCAGGTTTTGCCTGCTCGCTTGGGGCAGTAGGAAGGGGACCCAGAGTCCCTGTACTAACCAAGAAACTCTCTCTCACACACAGAGAAAGTACATGGCTCGCCTGGAAGAGCTCCGAGAGGCTCTGGAGAACTCCCCCTTCTTCAAGACCCATGAGGTACAAGCCCCAGCTGCCCTGGGAGCGGAAGGCCCTGTGTAGGGGGTGGGGGTGGGGCATCAGCCTCCGGGTGGCACCGAACAGAAACCGCTGACAGAGTTACAGGGCAGAGCTATTAAGAGGAACCCCCACGTTTTGGGGTTTGCTCTTCAGGGCAGGCAACAGAGGGGATTTCAGGGAGATGGGATAGTTCGGAATGTGGGATCGAGCCAGGAGGTCTGCAGTGAAGGCTGTTGGACTCTGGGCACACGATTTACCTTCTAGGGCCTCAGCTTCCTCCTAACATGGAGGAAAACAATGTTTTTTGTTTTTTGTTTAATTTGAGAGAAAGGGAGCATGAGCAGGGGGGAAGGGCAGCGGGAGAGAGAGAGAAACAGGCTCCCCACTGAGCAAGGAGCCCAATGTGGGACTTGATCCCAGGACCCTGGGATCATGACCTGAGCCCAAGGCAGACACTTAACTGATCGAGCCACCCAGGTGCCCTAAATTCTTGCTCTTAAAATTCCTTTGTAATTTTAATTATCATAATTATTTCTAATTATTTGTGTCTGCCTTCCCGTTTGGTGGCTCTCCCCCTTCCCTCTCCTGTGCAGCCTGGTCTCTTTGGAAACAATTTCTCTGGGCTGTCACAGGAAGTCTGGGAAGTTATGACCTCCCTGCATTTGCGTGTCCTCTTCCTCCTCTCTCCAAGCTTTTCTACCACCCCCACTCAGGTCCCCCTCACTTCTTTTTCTTGGCATCCCCAACTTCCAATAGATCCCTGATCTGGGAGTTGGGCCTCCAGGTTCGAACCCCAGTCTGCACTCCTCAGCCTCCAGTGCCTGGGACCTGTCTCCAGACAGGCATGACGGGCTAACAGAGCCCCTGCCCCTGGGTGGGGTGAGGATATGGCCCATTAAGCATGGAAGCAGGACCCATAGTCCACTCTCAGTGTGTGCCCGCTATGACTGTCATGTTCATTATCATCAAATGTCACCCTCATCGTCCTCGTCACTGCCTTGGGCTCTACGTGCAAGTCCCAACGAGGAGGCCCGGGGACCTCATCTCTTCTGTGCTTGTGTTCGTTTTCACCCACTTTAAAAAATGAGTTGCCAGCATCAAAAAAACAAGAATTGACACCCAAGTTGGGACTGCCAGTTTCCCCGGCCCATTGGGAGATGTGGCAACAACTGGGCTGTCCGCCATGTGCCAACATCCAAACAGAGTGGGGCGGTGGCACCTGCCCAGTCACCTGGGTTCTCTGGGAGCGGTGCAGTTTGAAACCCGACTAGAAAAGGAGAGGGCCTTGCACACCTAGAGTCCCATGAAGGCAATGGAAGTTGTTTCTAATTTTAACCACCACCACCCCACTGCCGCCACGCCAGCAACTACCAAGGGCTGTGTGTCCAGCACCTCGAGGCACTTTGTGAGCCCATGGGGTCGTGGGATGCTGCCGTCTCAGCAGGTCGGGAGGTGGAGGGTGTTACGTTACTATCATCACCGCTCTCCAGTGGAGGGAACATCACCACCAGCCGCAGTCCAAGGGGGCTGAGCTCTTCTTTCCTGGGGGAGGCATTATCTGCTTCATAGTGCCGGCTGGGCTCCCTGGACCCATGCGAGGTCCTGCAGGCACCTGAGTTTGTAGCCCAGCGTGGAAAAGTCTCACGTTGGCGGTCCATCTGCTATACCAGCAGGTGTCCTAAGGGCCTTATGTGGATGAATTCCCACACGTGATGGGCACAGCAGCCTTCGAGGCAAATGTACTATGATCCCAGGCACGCAGAGGTTAAGGTCGCCTGCCCAAGGCCACCTAGCCAGTCAGCGGCAGAGCCAGGATCTGAACCCGGACAGCCCAGCTCCGGAGCTCATGCTGTCAAGCACCCTGCCCAGCTGCCTTTTGGGAAGGGGGCCTGAAGCCAGTGCCTGCTCCTCCCTCTAACCTCCGAGCTCTTTCCCTGCAGGTGGTGGGCAGCTCCCTCCTCTTCGTGCATGACCACACTGGCCTGGCCAGGGTCTGGATGATTGACTTCGGCAAAACAGTGGCCCTGCCTGACCACCAGACGCTCAGCCACCGACTGCCCTGGGCCGAGGGCAACCGCGAGGATGGGTACCTCTGGGGTTTGGACAACTTGATCCGCCTCCTTCGGGGGCTAGCCCAGGGTTGACCCACCTGCCCGCTGCCAGGTTTATTTATTGGCTGGTGCCTATCTGGCTGGTGGTGCCCCAAGATTGGCCATGGGGTCACTGACCACGGGGATGGGAGAGGTGGCATTGGACACCGCACAAGACCGGATGGAAGGTCTGAAGGGCCTTGGAGACCAGTTAGTGCCCGGCTCTTCCCATGATTCGGAGGTTTTAAAGACTGGAGCAGGGGTGTGACATGGCTGCATCCCACAGTGCATCAGAACCAGACTGGGTCCTCCGCCCAGCCCAGAAAGTTTCTGAGGGGCTGCTGGAGACCATAACTGAACCGCGAGCCCTGACAGAACACAGTTCAGATGCCACTGGCCACAGGCGTGACATGGTGCCCGTCGCTGTAAGAATGAGTGTAATCACTGCCTCCTTGTCAGCCCCCTCCTGGCTGTAGGCTGGTTCCCAGAGGCCGGGGACGGTCAGTTTCATTGCTGGTGCGCTGGAGAACCAGCCTTCACCTGCAAATAAAGGCAGGAGCCACCTGTCTGCCTAGGAGAGTTCTGGCCCCATCTGCTTGTCCCCGGGAGCCACTCCAGTACCCACAGACCTTGGGGAGGGTGTGACACCACATGGGGCTGGTCTGAGCACTCTGCTGTCCGGTGGGACCCAGTTCACCCTGTCCTGCCCTCTCCAGGCCCCATGGGGATCCTCCCCACTCCAGAAAGAACTCTGCCAACCCCCTGCAGACTGAGACCATAGCCACTTCCCGGGCCTCCACTGTGACTAGCACCACCTTGTTCCTTGGGCACCGGCCTCAGCCTGGGGACTTCCTCCTCCCACCCCGTACCCTTTTGCCCTTGCTCCTAGCTGGCCTGTGGCAGGAAGGGCTTTCAGCCATAGAAAAGCAGGTTTGGGAAGCGGAGCTGCCTTCCTCCACGGGTGCAGGGTAGGTTGGGCCACTGGCTGTGGCCTGGAGTGTGCCACCGGGTCCACCCCACTGACCCTGGCAGCACCAAGCGTATGTGACGCCCATCCCATCCCCCTCCTCCTGCACCTGTACCTTTGGCTTCCTGGCCTCTGAGGCAGGGAACCAGGCACCTCCCTCTTCCCTAAGCTGAAGCTCGAATGTGTCTTCCGGGCCCGAGGAGATGTGCTTCTTTTCTACTGACTGTCTTTATACTTATTTATACGGGAGGTAGTCGTTAGCTGGGGCAGTGTTGGGGAACAGGAGGCAAAATCACTTTGTGTACTTTCCCCTCCAGGACGACGCCCCAATAAATCACACAGAATCAGCTTTGTGGATTTTTTTCTTTCGCATCTGGGGTGTGTGGGCTCCAGGCTCCCGGTTTCACTGTCGGTGCTGGGTGGGGTCATGGGATCATTCAGTCTGAGTTCACCTGGCCGCTGCTCTTCTAACCTCTCTCTGTGTTGGACAACGTGGGGAACAGACTCATAAGTGGGACAGCTCCCGGCTGCGCCCTCAGGGCCTCCCAGGACAGCACACTGGACAGTGCCAACTGTGGGGTCCGAGGCGTGAGGGCGGGGGTGCTCTCTTCAGGGGAGAAACACCGCAATGGACAGCATCTCTAAACAAGACCCTTTGCCCGGCACTGAGTACATGGGACCAAGACAGACCTGCTCCTCCCCTTTCAGAGTGGGAGCGACGGGTCTTTGTTCAATCAGGAACCTCTTTCTCCACCCACATCTGTACAACGACTAACTACCAGTTTGCATCCTGGCCCTGCCACTAGCCAGCCATGACCTCAAGCCAGACCTCACACACTTCTCCGGGCCTCAGTCTCTCTACCTGTAAAATGGAGGAAGAACTAGTCCCTTCCTTACATGGAGAATCTGAGGAGTTAAAATGGGCAAAGGGGTTGGCACATGTTAGCACTTTCTGTGTGTTTCTAAGCCAGAAGGCAAGGTGGGGGAGGAGCCATGCCTGAGGCTAGGGAGTCTTCCCAAGGAAGATGAGCCAAAATAGAGAATTAAGAGAAAGATGAGCCAAAATAGAGAATTAAGGAGTTATCCTTAGCAGAGGATTGGGTGCAGGGGAGTAGGACACTCTGGGGACCTGGAAGGCCAGTGTGGCTAGATGAGCTGGGGCTGGGAGAGTTTAATCCCTGTCCTGTGAGCAATAAGGAGCTGCTGGAAGATTCTGCCGAGGTACGTGGTAAGACCTGGTTTGTATTTTGAAAGGCAAGGCATCCTAGGCTCTACGGGAATGGACGCAGGGGGGCGGCAAGCGGTGCAGTGAGAAGGCTTCTGCAGGTGTCCAGAGAGAGGAGGCTGGTCACCAGAAAGAAATGTCTGGATGCAACATCGGGGTGGGGCAGACAGGCAGGACCTGCAGGCCGCCTCCGGTGAGTCTCTTTCCTGGAGAGGGAGCTTGTTTGACTGGCTCCTGGCTTGGATCCCAGCCATGCATCAGAAGCCCGATACTGCAGGGTGGGCGTGAGAGAAGGGGACTGGGACTAGACGGACTGGGGTGGCAGGGGGCCTCTGCGTGGAGGGTCTCTGGCTGGAGGTCCTGGGGAACACGGCCCACATCCGTGAGCTCTTGCAAAGGGAGAAACCGGGGCACTCTTCTCATGGTGACAAAGCCAAGCTGTGGCCGGGACCCCGTCAGCCCGGCCCAGGGCTGAGGCAGGCTAGGGGCTGGAGTCCCATGGTCTGAGCAGCAGGGCCTGGCCACAGAGGCCGGCCCGCACTCCGCCAGCAGGTACCATGTACACCCGGCCGTCGGCGGCCCTTGAGGGTGAGAAGTCCGTCAGCTGGAGGTTGCTGTCCCGGACCTGGTCATAGTCCCACAGCTGGTAATGCCAACTCTTGCCCTGCTTGGAGAGAAAGTAGACGGCTCCTGCGGAGCCTTCTTCTGGCAGGGCTGGTGGCTGGTGGGGCGTGGTGGGCACCGGGTGAAACAGACCTGGCAGCTCGGGGTCCTCAGAGTAGCCGAGGTGCGGCACAGCCCGCACGCCCAGCAGAACCCCTGGGAAGAGAGGGGAAGTTGTGAGCGGGGGGGCGCGCTGACTCCATGCCGGGACTCATCGAGCTCCCCCCACTGCCCTTCACGGAAGGTATGGGTGCTGCCTCCATGCATCCCTGAGCGGCTGGCGGGGCCGCGGGCACACAGCTGGGCTGGGACTGGACCTACGGTGTCTGGTCCCAGGCCATTAGCACAGGGAGGGGAAGGGGCGTTCAATAGAGTGGGCATCGTCACCCAGTGGTTTCCTGCTGTCTAGTAAAGGAAGGCTCAGAGGAGCCAAGGCCACGGACCCAGGCATGGGGCAGCCTCCCAGGCCACCCAACATGCAGGCGGTGGGGTGGGGTGGGGTAATGAGGATGTTGAGGCCGATCGAGGCTGACGCTGACTGACACATGCAGTGTGCCTGCCCCATTCGGACCTTTATATGCTTTGCTACCGTCGCCCAGATTTTCAGATGGAGGAAGGAAAGCCCAGAGTCACAGAGCCAGGAGGTGGCTGGACCCACTGTGGAGCCCAAATCCTAAAGTTTGCGCTCTGAGCTTCCGTTTGTGGAAACCCTGATTGGCAGATACTGAGGCACCTGCTGCCTGCCAGGTCCCTAACTAAGTATCCTGTGGGGACGGGGACAGGCCAGCCCTGGTCCCTGCCCTGAGCACAGGAGACATGCCGGTGTCAGGCTGAGAGTGTGGGGTGCTGGGGGGGTGCTGGGGACAAACAGGGGGAGCACACAGGAGTATGGGAGGGGAGACCCACCTGTGCTCACTGCCCAGTGGGCCTTGTGGCCCTTCCTACGACACGGCTCGTGGTTGAAATCCTCATCGTAGCTGGTGTAGGGGGTTAAGGCCAAAGCTGCAGTGTGGCCCTGGGACCCACCCTTCTCCCTCCCCACCCAGCTCCCTTCAGGGCCCTGGGATACGGGATGAGCAGGGGATGCCCAGAGACAAGGTGCCACAGGACGCGGGCTCTGTTGGGACCGCCCAGGCCACCATGGAGCTGCTCCACCTGGCAGCCCAGTGCCTCCTGGGCCAGCTTGCCCATGTCGGCCACTGCAGGGGTGACAGAGACAGAAGGATCACTGTGTGCCTGGCTGTAAGCCAGAGGATAACTGGGGATCAGCACCTCTGATGAGCACTGCAACCGCCACCTCTCTGGATAAATGCAGGAAATGAGGCACAGAGAGGGTAAGCTGCTTGTCCACTGTCACCCAGCAGGAGGGGGCAGAGCTGGGCTCGGAATGAAGACAACCTGTCTCCAGGGTCCACCTCCTAATATTCTACTGGGTGGGGGAGAAGGGCCAGAGGATTGGAACAGGGTCCCCTCGCAGGACTGGCTTAAGACCCCCGTGCCCCCAACTCACCAGAGAACATCTCTCCCTGGGCCGTGTAGCCTCTCTTCATGGCTATCTCCACAAGTCTCTCCAAGGGGATGCCGCTGGGTGGTGCCAGGAGTGTGCCTGCCATCCACAAGGCCACCAGCCCGCACCTGGGGAGAGACAGGCCCAGTCCCTCCACCCCTAAGTCATGTCTTTACCAAGCCCCCTCTGCCCCCAGAAGCTGGAGTGTAAGGAACTGGTGTGCTGTGCTGGTGCTGGGGGAGTTTCCCTTTCCCCAGGCTTGGTGGGCTGCAGGGAGGGCAGGAAGGTGGGGAGAGAGGTCACCTGGGCTTCCAGGAGGAGGTGCCAAGTGGAGTCCAAGATAAAGACTATTCACTTACTTACTCGCTTGCCCATTCATTCCAACAGTTCACTGCGTATGCACCCAGGACCCCACCCTCCAGCCCCCCTTTCCCTCCCCTCCACCTCCTTCCAAGACGCCTGGGACAAACCCATGCCTCCCTCCCTACAGAGTGGCCCTCAGGAAGCACACAGCAAAGGCAGAGTGGGGTGGGAGTCCCAGATCAGAGCACACGTACTGAGGGCCTTCCTGGATGAGGGACGGCACGTCTGCACAGAAGAGGATCCATTGTAAGTCATTTCTGAAACTGAATCAGAGCGAGCTCAGGTCACATGGGAACCAGCTCAGGTCGCACAGGAACCAGCTCAGCTCCTAGATCTACCCCCCAACCTCCCCACCCCCTGGCCTTGAGGTGCGATTGAAAGTGGAGTGTTGAGGAATGGGGAGAGAAACCCAGGTCTGCCTGTCCTAAGGCCTGAGGGCAGCTCGAGGCTCTGATGCTGACTTCCCTCTCCCCTGATGAGCCACTTGTCCCTTCCCAAGCCTCCGCATCCTCATCTGCTCAGTGGGAATCCTCCTTCTACCTGCTGCTCCCTGCTCCTTCTCTCTGTTGTTGTATGGGCAAAGAACAGATGTACACAATCTTTGCAACTTGGAGCCAGGAAAATGGACTTATTAGAGGAAATTTTTTGAAGGCGGGTGACTGTTTACCCAAACCCTTCCTGTGATTTTTTTTTTCCCCCTTCTCAAGCCTATTCAATGAGGATGAAAATCCCTTAACCCAGCCTTGAGGAGAACCATGTAAGACCACACTCCAAGCCTAAGAGATCAGCCGGATAATGAGCCCTTGCAGGCCTGCCCAGCCCCACCCTTGGGGAAGTCATGTATAAGATTTTGAGCCAATACAGCCCCAGGACTCAGGAGAGGCTGGGCAACATGCTTATCCAGTATTTCTGTTCCAAGGCCAGTGAAAGAGCAAGGCTGATGGGGGTGGGGTAACCCCAAAGCTCCCGGTTCCCAGTTTGGAGCACTGTCCTGATGGAAGATGGTAACACAGCACAGTGGTTAAAGGCACCGAGGCCTGCTGCCAGAGTGCAGATTGGGTTCCTCTAAGTGCTGTGGCGAAGTAACCACCTTCATAAGCCTCAGTTTACTCATCGGGAACATGACATAACCATAGTTCCTATCTTACAGAATCACTAACCCAATGAAATAAATGCTTAAACACACTGAGAATAGTGCCCGACAAACGTCCTAACCAAACGGATTATAAACTTGTCCAGAAAGCTGGAAGTTTCTTCCGTGAGTCTGGGCAACTCACTCCTTGTTATACCAGGTCACCACAGCCCCAGGCCGGATCTAGCCCTCTCCCACCTGGATCTCTGGGGGCTCCAGCTTCCTCCTGGACCCCTTGACTGTCTCACCACCTCCAGTCCCCACAGGTAGCCTCCCTCTCTGTGCAAAGCCCTTCTGCAGCTCCCGCTGCCCTCAGGATCGTCTGCCTCCCTCCACGCGGTGCCCCTGCCCTGTGTGATCTAGCTCCTGTCCACCTGTGGAACTCCACGTTTTCCACCTCCCCCATCCAGTTGAAGAAATATTTGCAGATCCTGGAAAAGAACACCTCTTCATTTCAGCCTGTGCCTCTGCACAGGCGTTAATTCTCCTCATCACAGCTGGGACAGCTCTCAGTCCCCACTAACCCCCAGGTCTGGCCAGGACCACCCCCGGGACTCCCTTACTATAGCTCTCACCACTTTGGGCTGTCACTGGTGAGGGAGGGATCTGTCCCAGCCCCTGGACTAGGTGCCTGTGGGGGCAAGATTTCTCCTCTTTGCAGAAGGCGTGCCCTGCATGGGTCTAAGCAGGGAGCTGAGGTTTTTGACCTTGAGGAAATAGGAAACCCCAAGAGAAGACAGCTGAAATGACCCGGGGACAGGTGGTTCGGTGACACCCTACCGGTCCTTGTGCAGCTTCAGGAGCCTCTTCACGTCATCTCTGCTCCTGGGGACTGCGCCAGCCTTCTCTAAGGCCTCCTTCAGGAGCTGGCTCTTCTCTAGGCCAAAGACATGAGGGGGAGCCAGCCCCCTGACAGGGGGTGGAGGTGGCAGTGGGGGTGGGGGTGGGGGGATAGGGGCCTGGAGACTTGAGGGAGGTGGAAAAGCTAAATTGGGGACATTTGGGGGTAGAGGAAGTGGAGTGATGGGGGTTTGGGGAACAAGGGTTTGTGGAGGGGCTGGGGGGTCTACCAGGGGAGAACATCGAGAAATCATTTTGGGGTCTATGACATGCAAGTGCTGGAAGATCAAGAATCGGGGCCAGATGGATACTCTAAAAATGAGTTAGTTGCAGGCATGGACGTTCTGAAAGTTTTAGCGTGGAGTTCCAGAACTTGGGTGAAGAGTGGGCCTGAAAGGACAAGGAATGACACTTGGAACAATGGAAGCAGGGGTTAACAGGGCGGATCCCTTATCCGGAACTAGATTTGTGGTTTGGGGCTGGGTTGCAAGGCTCGGAGAGGAATTTAATTAAGAGTTACTGTATTATCCCAGGCGAGTTTTAGAAACTCGGGAATCAAGGCTTGGCTCTAGGGTGGGGCGCCTAAACGGCGGGAATTTGGAGCCCAGGGCTAAAGACCAGAGAATTCAGGCTCTGTAACCCCTCACATCCCACGCCCGAGTTCGGAACCTTGGAGCTGACCTTGATAAAACAGAGGTCAAGACATCAAAAGGACACCTGGCAGGGAGGATGGCTTAGTCGTGGAGAAGGTCCTGGAATCAGAGCGCGAAAGGAAAAGCTCTCTAGGTTGGGGAAGGCTCAGAGATCAGAGGACGCTAAGAACCGCGATACCGCCGGGATAAATGACGGAGACAAAAAGTAAACGCGCCTCCCCTTCCAGCAAAATGGCAGCCGCAGCACACATTATCCCTTATCACGTGGCGGGACTCGCGACTCGCGCCCATCCCTAGAGAGCCACGTAACGAGAGAAGGCGGGGCGTGGGGGGGGTGTTGGAGAGTCTTTCAAAGGACCGCCACCGGAAGCTGCCCAAGGGCGAGCGGCTTCCCCATTGGTCAGAAGCGCGTGAGGGGGTGGGCCTTCGCTGATTGGTCCCTAGACCCTCAGGACGGGTCGGGCGGGGTTTTTCTGCCGAGGCGGGAACCCAAATGTCGTTTTGATTGGCCAGATTTGGGCCCAGGGGCGAGGTTGATTCTGACTGGTCAAGCTACTGAGTTTCTGCGCGGGATTGGCTTGCAGAAAGGCAAAGGCGGGACCAGGAGAGGAAGCTTTTGTAGTCGACGCTCAGAAACCTACGCGGCGACACTTGCAGGAGCTGCGGCTCTGTAGGTGAGTAATCTTGGGCGACGGCGGCCATCGACGCCAGGCCAGGGGAGCGTTCGCCTCCTGGGCCTTCTTGCGCCTCGTGTGGGGAAACTATCTTCCCGCTGCGCGAGGTTAGGGCGCTTCAGAGTCGTCTCTTTACTTAACTGGCTCTTACATCCGGGTTTTTCTCTTGGGCCGCCCTTTGAGCTCCTAGGCCAATGGGATTCGCCACTTAGGACGCCCCGCCTACTGGTTCACGTAGAGCATCTTGGGACTCGTAGTAGACCTCTAGAGGGTTCCCTCTACCACGCGGGGAGGAGAAGCAGGGTCCCGCTTTCGCTTTGTTTTCCGAGCTGTGCCGCTTTCTCGCCTCTCCTCACTTCCTCCTGGAAGTAAGATCCCTGAGCAGCCCGTTAAGCCCGCTTTGGGACAGGATTTGGAGAAACCCAGGGCTGAAGTTACCTTTTTTCCTTCTTTCAGCTCTACCTCGGCACCTCTCCATGGCAGTTCCCGAGACCCGCCCCAACCACACTATTTATATCAACAATCTCAACGAGAAGATTAAGAAGGATGGTGAGTTCTGGGGATAGGCCAGACTCCAGGTGACCTCGCAGGAGCCGGCCCCTTCTTCCATCCCCCGCATTCACGTCTCTTCCTTCGCCTTCTCCAGCCAAACTATCGGTTAATCCTTCAGCCTTTGCACACGCTGCTTTTTGTGTCTTTAACGCTCCTGCAGTCCATCTTAACGCTCTAGCCATTAACCTGGTCACTGTGGTTCATCCCTGAACGTCTCAGCTCACAGGACTCCTCCAAGAACCCTTTGGCGTCCCCTTACCGCTCAGTTGCCTGCCCCTGACTTCCCATAGGCCTTGGACATGTCCCTCTCAAGCCCTGATTGTTCTGGGCTGTTATGGGATTGTCTGCACTGATCTGGGAGCTCCATGAGGGTAAGCGCTGGGATGGTCTTGGTCACGGTGGTATTCTCAGTGATCAGCCCACGATGGAGGTGTCTGATTTCCAAAAGGAGACGGAATTATAGTAACATTGCTAACACCATCATCGGGTACTGATATGTACATTTTTACTACTTTAAATTCTCCCAACAGCCCTTCAGGAAGGAGCTATAACACCTTTTTCTCAGATTAGGAACCAGACTCAGGGGTGATGTGACTTTCCCAAGGCCACACAGCAAGATAAAGGGGTTGAGGCCACCAGCGTGGAATTCAGCTTAAGAACTCGATTCTTGACATTCGATGTATTTTTTTCCATTTCCTTTATCACCTTTATTGAATTTCATTTTCTATATCTGAAAACTGAACAAAGTCCTGGTACTTTTCTTTGCATGGACGTTGCATGGATTACCTGGGCCAAACATCATCTATGCAGTGCTTCTTTATATGGTATCCAGTTGTTAGTAAGGGCTGAGTAAAATTTGTCTCTTACCCCCTTAAGAAAAGTCTTGGGGGAGGGCGAATAAAAAAGAAAATTCTCAGGGAGAACCAAAGGAGTTTGCTGGGATTAAGTTTGAGGTTGCCAATAAAGTTACCGTCGAAGAAAACCAGACAAGCCATGTAAGTCCCCTGTATGTGCTCTTAGAGTATGGTGCCCAGCCAGTGGGGCACCTGGACAGAGGCATTTGTTCCTTCTCAGAGAAGCCTTCCAGGTAGAGGAAGCTGTGTGTATGTTGTGGTGAGGGAGAAAAGTGTTCCGAACCTGGACCAACATGGGCAGATATCTAACGGCCAAAGAGACCCTGGGGCATTCTGGAGATAACAACTAGTTTTGTGTGACGGAGGCTTGTGTCCAGGGAGAACCCTCCAGTGAGTAGTACACTGAAGGTTCCTGGCCTCTTGTGGGCGGTGGGCCGTTAGACTTTGTCCTGAGGCCGTCTGGGAGCCAGGTGAGGGACACAGTCTGGTGTGAGGATGATGTATGGAGACTGAACTTGAGTGGGCAAGAGGGGAGAAGGGAGAGAGGCCCAGATTCCAGGGGAGTGACTTTTTTTTTTTTTTTTTTTTTTTTTTAAGATTTTATTTGACAGAAACACAATGAGAGAGGGAACACAAGTGAGGGGAGTGGGAGAGGGAGAAGCAGGCTCCCCACCAAGCAGGGAGCTCAATGCTGGGCTCGATCCTAGGACTCTGGGATCAGGACCTGAGCCGAAGAAAGACGTGCAACCAGCTGAGCCAGCTAGGCGCCCTGTCAAGTGTGGTCGTTTGTTAGATGCAGTGGTGTGGGGTTCAGATGGACTTGGGTACCTCTCTGTAGCTTCCCAGTACCTCCGGGGCACTCCAGAGCCCCTGATAATCCTCTGAGCATCTGTTTCCATTTAGTAAAATTAAGACTGTTACGGTCACTATCTCATGAAGTGGTTGTGAGAATTTGGTGAAGTTTTTTTCCGTAAAACATATAATGGTATCTTTACTCACGCAAATGTTTTTGGAGATGGGTGGCCGCTAAAGTCTGCGCGGAGTATTGCAGTACGCAAGTGGGAAGGGCTCGTGGTTAAGGATCACTAAACCAGTAAGAACATCCGAGGTCAGGAGGTGGGCAAGACTGCAAAGGAAAAGCAAGTAGGGTACGAGGAGTGGGGAGAGTGGCAACAGGGCACCTTAATTAAGACGGGATGGTCAGGGGGAAGCCTCTGAAGTGGGAACACTTACTGAGACCTGGTTGACTAGAAGGAGACAGCTGTGGACACAACAGGAGAAAGGTTTTTGTGGTGGAGGCAGTAGTCTGGGCAAAGGTCCTGAGGCAGCATCCGTGTCCTGGCCTGGGAAAGGGCTGTGAGGCCAGCATGACTGGGAGTAGGAGAGTGGGGTGGAGTGTGGGGGAACGAGGTTGGAGAAGTTGGCCAGGGCTACCTCACCCAGACCTGGGTCAAGGTGCCAGTGACCAGAAAAAGCATGCTCACATTTATTGAGCATTTGTCATAGGCCCTTTGTTACGTGGGTCTCCTGTTCATCAAGCAGGGGGAGGTACCGGTACCCTCCGTGCTCTCAGAGGAGCCCCCACAACTCACCCCAGTGTTCTTGGCTGCTGCTCGTACTGCTGGCCCTTGAGGGGTTCCTGACCTGTGACATTGTGTCAGGTGGCTGATGGTTTTCCTTCTGGGCCTCACTTGGCTCTGAAAAAGGATCTCAGCCCCCAGGACAGGTACCAAGACTTCCAGTCACCCATGGGCCTTTCCTTTTTCCCTCTGCAGAGCTGAAGAAGTCCCTGTATGCCATCTTCTCCCAGTTTGGCCAGATCCTGGATATCCTAGTTTCCCGAAGCCTGAAGATGAGGGGCCAGGCCTTTGTCATCTTCAAGGAGGTCAGCAGTGCCACCAACGCCCTGCGCTCCATGCAGGGTTTCCCCTTCTACGACAAGCCCATGGTGAGTGCTGTGGCAGACTGGGTGGGTCTGGACCTCTTGTCACCCGTAGTCTGGTCCCCTGTAGTCTGGTCCCCTGAAGTCGGGAGTCTCTCTGGCTATTTGTCAGCATTCACTGTTCTTTGTGCTGGAGCCAGCGGTGGGGTACCCAGTGACCGAGGGAGCCCCCAGCTCTGCCCTTGCAGACCTCAGGTGGGGACGACCCAGAGGAGTCAGGAGCAGGATAGGGGAAGTGCACAGATGTTGGGGAGCTTAGGGGACACACCTGACCCAGTCTGGGGGTCCAGAGAAGGCTTTCTAGATGTGAGACTCAAAGGAGAAGGACTAGCTAGGGAAGGCAGGGAAGAAGGTGTTAGATAACTGAGAGCATCTGCAGTCGAGGAAGTGGGTCAAGTTGGTTTGGCTGGAGAGAAGGGTGAGCATGGGGTGGGGGTGCTGGGGAGCCTTGGAAGTGTTTAGGGAGATGCCTCTGGCTGTTGGGGAGCATGGATTAGAAGCCGGAGTTTAGGGGAGACTGCATGTGCAGGAGCTTCAGCCCCGACCAGGTGGGGGCCGTGAATGGGTTGAAATGGGTAGATTGGGGTTCAAGAGACCATGTGCATAGCCAGGGGGCTGCATTTTGGAAGGTGGAGAATGGCTTAAAGTGGCTGCCCTGTACTAGCGTTCCTGTCGGATCGCTGGCAGCCATCTTTTGTTCTTGGGGCCCTTTCCCTTATCCCTCTATCATCTGAGTTTCACCTGATGGGAACATGCCTCCCTGAACCAACTCCCTTGGGGAGGGAACAGCAAATGCTGGTATGTCCAGGTCCCAGGCAGGTCACCTCCCGTGGAAGACAGTGGGCCCCGGGAGCGGTGAGGTAGCCTGGAACTCTCCCCTCTGTGTGGATGGTGCACTGGTTTGCCTGCTGTCGCCTCTGGGCGTGAGCCCAGATTTGCTGCATCTTACATGGCTTTTCTGGGGCAGCTGGGAATTCGCTCTTGAAGTATAAAGACCATAATGTTACTGGGTCAGTCCTCCTCCCCTGCTCCCCAGATCACTGCTTAGAGCATTTCAGACACTTTTTTTTTTTTTTAAGACTTTATTTATTTATTTGACAGAGAGATCACAAGTAGGCAGAGAAGCAGGCAAAGAGAGAGGGGGAAGCAGGCTCCCTGCTAAGCAGAGAGCCCCATCTGGGG